GCAGACGACACGTAAAATTGGAAACAATATGGCATTTTTTCATAGCTTATTGTAATAGTTTTTATTTGTTTGGGTCGTCAGACCAAACAATTAATGGTAGCGAAATTTCAGATTGCAAATGCCGAAAGTAGGCCCCTTTTTTTGAAGCGGTTACTTCCCTTTATATGTACACTAACGCCGAAAAAATTCAGGGGAGATCACTGCGTAAAGATGGTCAAATGACAGGCGCATTAATTTTCAACCGAATGGTCGAAGATTTCTAATATTGTTTTATCCTTTATAGATATACATGCTTATAAAAAGCTCCATGATTATTAACATCTGTGTTAAACAATAGTTAGCGTTGAAATAATAAGGGTTACAAACCCTAATTTAGAATAATATGTTTTTTTTTCAGGCCTTTATCATATATCTTCACCGTGGCCGAGGGGTCTGAAGTTCAAATCCAGGAAGGCAACTCTTTTTTTTTTCAAATTGTTTAAATCAAATAAACATTGAATTGAATATCAGTGTTGCAATTAGTCTTAAAGCCAATTAACTACAATTAAAACGCTGGAAAGCACTGGTGGCAATATACAAAAACAAATTGGTTTATAATCTCACAACCTTCACCTTTCTGACATTCTGAGACCCAAACAAATTCAGCGCCTTCTGTGCTTTGATTAAGTTTTTTCACTATAAGTTCTTTATTTCTTAAGGTATTTTCTTCAAACTTTAAATATAAGTTGCTAGTCATCAACCACATCATATGTGTCAAAGTTTACAACAATTCATCAGAATTACCTCCCTTGAACTTAAAATTTTCATGAAAAAAATATTGTTTTTTTTAATAACTTCTTTTTTTTCTGAATGTATCTACTTCAAACTTCATATATATGTTTCTTATTATCACTCAACATTTGTGAGAAAGTTCAGTACTCTAGTAAGACTATTTCCAGAATTATGCCCCTTTTGAAGTTAGACTTTTTTTCGGGAAATTGGTAATTTTTACTCCAACTTCTTCAATCATGATAGGATTTTCTTCAAACTCCCACATCATAATAATATGACAAGGTTTATAAGTCTAGCATCCATATTTCCAGAATTATCTCCTCCTTAAACTTTTAATTTTTCTTATTCGTTCTTTTAACTTTCATTTACTTCAAATTCAAAATAAACATTCATTATTCATACCTTCATTACTAATTGTTCTTTGTTACACTCACATCATGTATGACATCTTGCATCTTTATTTCAAGAGTTATCTCCTTTTTAAAAATTTTGCTTTTAAAAATGTTATATTTTGATAACAGGGATGTTTAAAAAATAACTGTAGAGTGTCCTTCAGTCCGTCTGTCTGTACACAAAAACTGTTTCCTGTGATCACTTTTAAAGAATCTTTTCAACAAATTTACTTAAAATAGAAACATAAGTAAATGGCCAATGGCCCTTCAGAATGTTGATGGGGTTCTAACCGGTAGGGCACTTATGGATTGCTTGCAATACTATGATATTTGCTTGTTTTTCTCGGCTTCGTTTAGTATAACATTACCAATGTCCCACGGATTGCTTAGGCATAATGTGTATATAATATACAGTGTTAACACGTATGAGCTCTTTTGACACCATTTATATACAATTTATATGTTTAACTTTATACCCATATATTGAAATGGTTCTTGAGGACGGGAATCAATGATTTGACTAATCGGATGAAATGGTTTTATTTTGACCACTGTAAATGTTGCAGTAATGAATATAACCCCCCCCCCCCCCCCCGAGTACTCACAGTATCACATACAAAACTGTGTACCAGTGGCTGTTATATTCAAGCATAGCAATCAATATTGGATAGCCAGTCAGCCAAGTTGCGAATTGTAAATATAATTAACGCACAGAATTTGCACCTATAGAACACGTTTTTACAGATCAATCAAATGACACAATGACTCCGATTTATTGATTTCAAGCCGACGCTTTGAGAAGGAATATTTACTAACATCATCACCATGACATGTATGTTGTTATTATGTAATAAATTATAACTCCAGGTATATTTAAAACGATGCGTGCCCAGAATGTTTGCGTAATTGTTCATACACAACCCAAAATGTCATTGACCAAGGAGCCTGTAAAAAAAAAAGAATAAAATCAGCAAAATGACTAACATTTGCAAAATAGAACAATCAAAATATACCAATAATACGGTTGTAAAAGTTGGAAAAATACTAAAATTATTTAAAACTCAGACGTAATAACCATTACCATGCTAAATATCTTAAATGGACTCGCCAATCCATTAATCTGGACAAACAATTTTTTATTATTATTTTTTCTTTGGGGGGGGGGCGGGGGCATTTGGAAAATGTACTGACAGAACAGTGAACAGTGCAGACCATGATCAGACAATGTTGGTATGCTCACTGATCATGGTCTGCACGGCGGCGTGTGTTAAGCAGGCTAAGGGTTAATGAAATAATAATTGCGTCTGAAGTTTTCCCCACCAGTTAAGATGGAAAGTCACCATATCACCAATACTGTTGTATACTGCGACCAAACCCAAAACAAAATTAAATGCGTGTTTCAAAATAGGCGAATCACTCCTAGCTCACTTGACATTAGTTCGGAACGGTTCCTTGAAAGGTGGAAGAAACCACAACTTCAAAATCGTAGCATTGAGCAGTCCAACTATATGAACGCGGTTGGTGTTCAGGCGGGACTAAGATTGTGTTTGCAAAGTCAAATCGTTGTCTGCGGTCATTGGTATAAAATGTAGGTAAAAATAATCATGTACAATTTTAATATACTTACAAATCTGCAGTATGTTGGAAAGAAGCCTTTATATAGGGCAAAGAACCCCTCTTGTGTGAACGTTTTAACAGCACAATCTATAGAGCCTTTGTATAACAACGGCCTGTATCGTGAAAGAAAGTTATAAAAGGACAATTAATGACGTTCAGGGCTGCGTTTCATAGAAAGTCCTAAATTTAAGTCCCAGGACTAAAACCAACTATTGGACTAACTTAAGACCATTTCAATAAACAAATTTATCTCCAGTCAAATACTGTAGATTATAAATCAATTTATTCTCCTGAGAAAAGTAAAGAATACAATGACAGACCCTTTTATTTGCAATGTGTAAATACCAATCAGCATTGCTATTCAGAAATTAAAGAGTCATAACATAGAAGTCATAAGTTAACCCATTACGTTATATACACGCCTTGTAACGCCTTTTTCACCCCCTCCCCCTTTTTGTTGTCTCAAATGGTGAAAAAATGCCTTATTTAGGCCCCCAACACTTGTTTTTGTTTGAGAAATGTTGTTAAAAATAAGTGACCTCTTGTTCGGCGCGGTCCCCAACCAAAAGATACATCAGGGGGTTGCCAGAAGGGGGGTGTGCCCCCTTCTGTTTGGGGGGGGGGAGGGGGGTTGAAGGTGGCGGAGTCCCCCTCATCGCCAAGAAAATTTTGGACTTGTGAGAGGCTATAAATGACCCCAGATTGATCATAAGGTAACGTGTAACCAACGCTGAAAAGCATTTGACTCTATCTTAATCCATTAAGAAGTTGCAGCACTTTGAAATCAATTTTGATGGAAAAAAATCAACGCAAAATAGTGATTTTTGGCAATTTTGAGATGTCCCCTCGTTGCCATGGTAACAGAAAATTTAAGCCTGAGCATGTTGTTGCAAGGGCAATGGTCCAGTCAACATTTGTGCCAAGTTTGATTAGTGTTGAAGCAGTTTTTATAGTATTATAGCAATTTGAACTTGTAACGGGAGACTTTTCAATGAAAATGCTCATGAAGTAATGGGTTAAGACATTTTCTTTGAAACTCAGTTTTGGTCTTATGGCAGATTTAAGATTTTCTATGCAACGCAGTCCTGAGGATATATAGAGAATAATAGGTTGGTGCCGTGGATGGAGAAAGTTTATCTGGCGAGGCGGAGGAATTCGGCTCACCCAATAAATTCCGGAGCAGAGCCAGATAAACTTTCTCCATCCACGGCACCAATTTATTATTCTATTTATCCTGTCACCGTTTTTTAAAGAATTTTATTAAGCAAAGTACCTTTAATCACACTATCGAAAATGTTTCTATATAAACAAAGAAGGCCCGAATCGTGCATTATTCTACAACAATGCACTCGCCGTTTTTATTATCTCCCTGTGTATTCTCACATTGAGGGCGCCATTTTGTTTGAAAAATCTGATAGATAAAAACAATTTTTTGTCGAATTTTGTTGTGAAAACAATCTAGAATGAAAGAAAATGGTCTAACTAACAAAATGAATCGAACACCAATATCTTTTATTCAGTCGTTAACGCTGTACAGACGTTTAAAGTATTGTTTACGTGACGTCACAATGTAGCGCCAAACAGCACGTGCAAAACAATCAAATCAAGTACGCTATTTTAATGTCGCAAATGAGTTAAGTTTTACATTTATTTCATTTTTAATAATTTTTATTCCGCTTGAAAAATTATAGAGTGAAATAAAATAAACAAACAAAGTTTTATCAACGTTTCCAAAATTCGTTATTCTACACACAGAAGATTTAACGACAGTTTTTATATTTTTTCTTGAAAAGTAGTCCGGCAAACATGCATACCACGTGATCAAGTGCCGTAGATCAGTAAAAATATACGGCACCTTGTTATCGGGCCGAAATTGATACAAGTGAAGGATGAAATGAAAATTACCATATTTCACTCGTGGCTACCGCCACTCATGAAATATTTATTTTCATACCACTCGATGAAAATAAATTATGTATTTATAGAAAAAACTTGAATATCCTCTATATAACAGTGCCATGAGAAAGTATATGAATACCTTTTTGTTGTTTTCAGATGTTTTTCATTATTCTCTATGACAAAAATATACACTTGGGATGTTCAATCAATTCAAGTATAAATAAAATGACATGTCTGTAGCACAGATGTGTAAACAAATTAATCAGCTTAATACAACTGCCGCGCTTAATTTATATCAAAATCATATATTTAATTAGAAAAAAGCTAAATACTCACTTTCCATTTTCTGTTGGCTGATTCATAACTCTGGTCTTAACAACATCTGCTGGCACGGACATAATTGCCGCCATTAGCCCTGCGCATGCGCTAAATGAAATTGAAAATTTTGTTATTTCCAAAATAAGAACTTCATGACATTGACTCGACTAAAACAGAAGTCATGAAAGTTTACAAATGGGAATAATTAAGACACAATTCCAGACTTTTGCCATTCTGAATAAAATTCGTGTGAAGTCTGGAGTGAATAACTTTAGTTGTGTAGAAAAACGTGCACGCAAAACGTAAACTTGCTTGATATTTCTTTACTTTTCAAGGTTTGTAAAATGTATACAAAAGCTATAGAGTTAGTGAACGTAACAATGTCAATAATATGAAATCATTAGAAATATCTGACATTGAATAAAATATTTGGTCTAATAAACCCTACTTTTATAATACACCGCCGATGAGTTAGCTTGAAGTACAGTACAGCAAAAATACAAACGAAAGAATAGGACATCCTTACATTTGTTTCGCAAAATAAATTCAATTTTATCTGTAATATTTACAAAGCATTTCAATCAATATTTGAATTCATTTGATTTTTTACCTTGATATCACATGCACTATATAATTATCAGGTAATGTTGTTTTGGTTAATAGTTGGCGTTTTACGGTGTCGTAGGTCACAAGATCTAGATAAAATACAAATGTACAGGAAAAAGTAAAAACCATTATGTACAGCGGTAAGTGGCGGTCGTAATACACTTTCCCATTTCTCTGAATTTTATATGGAAAAGAACAATATGTTTAAATTATAGTATATTTGCTTTTCATGCTATGAAAGCCTAGGTTAAAAAATTGAAATCGGAAGCTTTAATCACAACAAAATTACATGAAAATTGCAGACTCGGTTTGATTGAGTCCGTACACTAGGGATAATGAAAAAGTGCAACTTCCCTCACGTCCCTAGCACCGGCTTGAGCGGTACTCAATTGTCAACGCTTAAAGTGCTGCAATCAATGATCCCGAAGGAGTCTTGACCAGAAATATATAACAGTCAAGTGACTCACTTGTTGCGTAAACTGCAATGGTAATTATCAAAGATTTCAAAATCAAAGTTGATATTAAATTCAAACTTAAATACATGTAGAATACATTACCTCCAACGTTACAGAGAACGGCCCGCTGGCAGTTCGGTATCCACCCTCGCCAAAGACCACCTATACCGGATTCTTTATAAATTGAACGAAAAGCTTGCGAACAGTTCTTTACTCTAAAAAATAAAGACATGGCAAGCTTTTCATTACGGGAGATGCAAGTAAAACTTAATAATACCGTTTATCGTAAGAAAATGATTGCCGAAGTTTCGACCTCATGACATATAGACTAAAGCCTTTAATAACGAGATCCAAATACACGTTAAAGGAGCTCTGCAGAGGTAGAAAAACTTTAAGAAATGAAAATCTTATATAGACCAACCCGAACACTTAAATCTGAAAAAAAAAATATGCAAAAGAAAATATTATGTTCAAAAGTAAATTGAACTTCGACATTTCGTTAGATGTAGACCGATTTGTGGTTAAACCGTTTAAAGGTTTTTCATTTTTAGCTCATTTTGCACCATAAAAATGATGATTCAGAGCAAATGAGCCGCGTCACGACAAAACCAACGTAATGCGTTTGCGACCAGCATGGATCCAGACCAGCCTGCGCGTTCAGGATCCATGCTGTTCGCTATCAGTTTCTCTATTTGTAATAAAGTTTGTAAGCGAACAGCATGGATCCTGATCAGACTGCGCGGACGCGCAGGCTGGTCTGGGTCCATGCTGGTCGCAAACGCATTATGTTGGTTTTGTCGTGACGCGGCTCAAATGATCTGCCATTGTGCACACAAGTTATTGATATACATTAAACCCACATGAAATGGTATAACACCCTCGGAAAAATTATTTCCAGTCCCATCACGTAAAAAGAGTGAAGTTCCTTTAAATGCTTTTGTTGCAATACCTCACTGGTTTTCCCTCCAGCCGCCTCCGTCCCTCCATCTGCATCTGGATTTTGACAAGATCTGTTGGGCTAGCAATGAGTTGTCCGCATGCGCCGCATGTTGCACTCACAATTACTGACTTCCTTTGTTAGAAATATACATGTATTATGTTACATTATTCGTTGGTCAATAATTTAATTTAATAGTTTAATTTATCTCTGATTTTTATTATTTATAGATAATAGAAGCTGCGTACTTGTTAACTTGATACTAATTTTTGGTGTTATTATTTTACGTGATTTGGTATTTTTTATATTTTTTTAAATGGTGTACGTACATGCCTTACATGTTAACTTCTAGTGATTAAGATGATATTGATATTATTATAACTGTTTTTGATTTTATAATCATTATCATCATATATGACATCATCATCAACATCTGTATGATCAATATTTAATATTATTTATAAACATGTATACATATGGAAAGATGTGAATATACCATAGCGGAAACGTTCCATCCTCATTCTTTTTAAACACGTGATCCCTGAGAGCCTCGTATATGATCATTCTTGAACCGGAATATACTAAAAACAAACACACGTCATTATCAATCTATAACAATGTCATTTGTATATTTACTTTATTATGTTTGGTTCATACAGAATTTATTTTAGTTTGATTATAGTGGAATATATAAGCTTATATATATACACACTTTCAAATCCGTTCCTGGAAGCAATGAGAGTGTAAAGTTTCTTGCTCAAGGAAACAACGGCTTGCCCCCTGACTGGGGTTTGAACACATGGTGCTAGCGATCATTAGAGTACTTGCATATGCCGCCACTCTTAATTAAACTCTTCATGTTACAAAAAGAAAATTCTTAAGAATTCAAGATGTTAATAAAAGATGATCAATCATGGAAAGCAGAACTATTAAATGATTTTGAAATATAATTTCATACTAATTTGCCGATATAATGCCGGAGAGATTCCTTGCCAAAGTTTGAAGAACCCCTCTTCTGTCACTGAAGAAAACAAGAACACATAAATGTAATCAATATTGGTCTTATTTGCTTAAGAAATCAATGTACATATATGTAGCTATTAAGAATTAAACAGAATCTTGCATTTTTTTTAATATTTTGGCGGCCATCGTAGACGCCATTTGTATTTCAAGGACCGCACCTTGATTTTAGATTATTATCATTTTTTTTACAGAGTCTGCCAATGTTACCGAGACATGTTTTGTGCAAACACTTCCAGGTTCTGGAGTAATAACACAATAAGATGTCTTAGTTAAATAATTACAATAAACAATAAAATACATGTAGTTCGTATCCCTATTGTTTTCATTGTTACATTTTGTACGAACGTTAAATATACCTAGAAATGTGTTTACCAACTCCGTGCATGATTTTTAGCATGCCTCTCTTCGAATGTGTCAATGTGGAGCCGACTGAGCTACCCTCGCCTTGTATCTGGAGCCTGGTTCGAGTCAGATCTAACGGATAAGTGACTGAAAAAATAAATTGTCTTATTCATGTTTCGTTTATTCTAACCATCCGAGATCATGGTGCTAAACTTTTTTATGCCACATGAGTTTAATTTCCATTGTTTAGGACTGCGCTCTCACATTGTTTATTATTATTATTTTTTTTATTATTATTTTTTTTATTATTATTATTATTATTTATTATTATTATTATTATTATTATTATTATTATTATTATTATTATTATTATTAAATGTTATGCCTCTTTGCTACTGGACCTCGGGTGTATCTTTTCACTTCAATTGATAAGCTAACTTTGATTTTTTTATAACTTGATTTTTCGTTTCAGGTAACTATATGATTGCAGATATATTATCATATTTAGAATATATTAAAGTAATCAGAATATCAATAAAACGACATTTGTGAATATTTGAAACAGATACGATGCATCAACAGATACTAAGTATCATTGGCTAAGTTTGTAAGGAAAAACATATATCAAAGTAAAAAAGGGGCCATTGACAGTCGTACGTCCAGCACGAGAAAAAATAATTTGTTGCAGGTTGGTTTGGCCGAGCATTTCAATAAATGGAAAAGTAAGTGCAAGTTATGTTCCACGCCGCCAGCATCCGAACAAGCAGGAGTCACCAGTAAACCACATGTAGAAGGCGGTACAGTTTAAGACTTTAGAAACACCCAATGTGTAGTCATGCCTTTAATTTCAGGTTTTACGTTCTACTCTGGTAAAATCAACTTCAATTGATCAGAAATGGCATTAGATTAAAATACTTTAAAAAAGAAATATCTAAAGGAGGACCTTACCAGATTCTGCAGCCATTGCCGACATTCCTGACAAAACGAACTTATAAAAGAGGCCACCACCGGACTGCACCGTTTCAACCTCATTTTGAATCTCCTCTTCCGCCATTTTCTCTTTTCTTAATTAAAGAAAGAAATTAACCAGCCAATAAGGTACACAATATTTCGTTATATTCTTTGTTGTTCTTTATTTGAACCATGAATGCTCAAACACATTCGTTCACTATGCAAAATTATTCCATAACGGTATTATTTGAAGTCCCGTGAGAAAATTTACTTTCATTTAATATTCAAAAACTCTGTCCAGATGGTATATTCCAATTTGATGAAATAAATATGTTGAATACAATGTATATGATTTTGTCACACTGTCCTTCATGACCAAAAGAAGACACAAGGATGCGCTGTGATAGAAAAATATTATCTCTGTTAAAAATTTCAACCTTAAATTATTTATCTGTCAAATCAGTTGAACCTACTTAACGACCTTGTGGTTATTAGATAGAAAAAAAGCTTGTTTTAATCCTATTTTCATATGCTAAACCGATTTGTTTTTTTAAAAATCACAAAATTCCGACAATGTTTTAAATATAGATTTATAATAATTGGCACATATTTATGGCCACACCTCCAAATATTATCTCTTTGGTTTGCGAAAAATGCCGTCCATGCAACACTCTGATTGTGAACATTTTTATTTTTCTTATAGCTGATATTATGAAGCTTTTTATGTCCCCTTCACCAAATTGGGAGTGGGCTTCTTTAATCTCTTTTTGGCCGTTTGTTCATTGGACCAGACAGACCGCTGTTTTTGCTACCCCTGAAAAATGTCACCTTATTACAGAGTTGTCTCCCTTTGTTCTATTTTATTGCCATATTTTTTGTTTGAGCTTATGGGAGGTGGGTTCATCCGCCGGTTTCAATGATATCTTGTATGACATACTTTTCCAGGTCATCTTCAGGTCACATTTAAAATAGAATTATATTACACTAGTAAATATTTCCACTCAATGACACACGCACACACCGTTATCATTATATAATTTTCATACTTGCTTACTACGAATTTTTGATAGTTAAATGTCTTAAATCGTCTGAGGTAAGGTAACCATGCCATGTAAGGATGCATGTGTAGGTTTTTAAAATTATTTATTTTTCTACATCATTATTATTTTATTGTGATAACACACATAATTCGTACAGCCAATGAGAAATTAGCTTCAATGCAGGCATAATTATATAGACTGCTATTTGTTATCCTTTTGCCGACAGATAATATACGGGCTATTCGCCATCATTTACCCGGCTTCTGGCAGACAGACAATATCAGAATATTTCATGAAATTATTATGAGATTATTTTCATAATCTAAGAATAAAGTATACTTGGTCTAAGTAAGCTTTCGTTATATATTTGGCTGTCTTTCTTATGTGATCAGTCATCAACACACGTACTTTTTCAGAAATGGTTATATTCATGTCCTGATCACAGTCAACATTAACAAATATATCGTTTCTTATGTGTCTATAAATATCACATGGTAAAAAAAGTGAGTCTCATCCTCTACATCATTTCTGTAACAAAAACGACAAATTCTGTCTTCCACTGCCTCTCCAACGAAACGCCCAGTATCAATACGTATAGGTAAAATGCCAAATCTGAACTGATATAAAAGTGACCGTTCATATTTTCTTGAATTAAGTGAAACATAATCTTCCTTATCAAAGGTATCTTTAAACAGTTTATATGCACGAAGCTTCCTAAATGATTGCAAATCGGTCTGTCATTTATCACGGTACAGGTCTCGTATTTTATCTCTAGCAGTAGACAGACTAACTGTTGTTAAATCTGTAAAGTGCTGTTCTAAATTAAGATCACTTAAAATCTTTTTTTATATTTGAAGACCAATTTTCACATGTATTGCATTTACCGTAGTCATATAAGAACACTTTTTTTGGGTTAGTCTATCATCCGGCATTGATAACAACCTGTTCCAAAATCGTATTATAGGCAGTTTATGTCTGAACACACTTGGTATCCATCCTGAATCTCCATACATTGCTACGAGTGGTGCAAATCTATGTGCACCAAAAAAGTATCTTAGCGCGCGGTGATAGACATTGTCAACACATTGGTACGATTTGAAGCCCTACGACGAGACGTAATACTACAATATCGGACTCACACAACTGCCTACCAGTTTTTCAAATGTGTTACATGTAATTACAGTATCTTTCAGATTGTGAATTTTACAGATTATGCTCTCTTCCAACATTGTGATACTGATATTTGCAAAAATGGGAATATAACAAATTATTTGAGCCGTGTCACGACAAAACCAACATAATGGGTTCGCTATCAGTTTCTCTACTTGTTATAGAGTTTGTAAGCGAACAGCATGTATCCTGATCAGACTGCGCGGATGCGCAGGCTGGTTGGATCCATGCTGGTCGCAAACGCACTATGTTGGTTTTGTCGTGACACGGCTCATTTTATGTTTCATCATGTCAGTGTATTGATAATACCTAAGTGCATTTGTTAGTAAAGATAATACATGTAGCTCTATCAACAACTGAGCACACTTGACTTACATCTTTTTGCTATTTGGAGCACTCACATGAACATAAATGGCTCCACATGAGCGAAAAAAAAAATCAAGAAAATCAACCTTGATAAAAATGTACTAAGATTTTAAGAAAAGTGAAAATATTCACAATTAAAAAAAAGTTTTATGCAACTGCTGACTGAGTTTGCAGTATTGATCACCATGTTTCTACTGCGTGGCTAACGCAGTCAAGGCTTGTTCTTTTTTTTTTTTTTTTGGGGGGGGGGGGGGGAGGGGGTAATTTTCGTAGATTTAAAGTGCCGTTTGCAATGTGTAATTACTTTCCTTGTTCACTTCACAATATTTACTTTTTAAAACATTTTATAAATTTCATGAAAATCTGAGGCATGATGCTTTAAAAGCCCTTTATTTGCACATTATACACTTTCACGTGGAAAGAGTTTACATTTTGCTAACAATGTCTTACTTACAACAGACATGAAGTAGTCTACTTTTTACCTTCAGTCAAACATAACCCGCAGTCTTCCAGATTGCGAATGAATTATATATAGTTTACTCAGTTTAAAAAGGTTAAAAAAAGTTTATTTAAACTGACATTGACTGCCCCGTTTACCCAATAAATGCGTCCCACTTTACTGAACACCTAAACACGTTTAACAGAGTCAATAACCTTCACTTGAAGTACAGTCTGTGGATTATTGTGTGACCTTAAAGCAATGGTTATCTACAATAATTTATAATTTAAATTTGATGCTTTTTAAGCTGTATCGCGAGACTAAAGATTTATTTCTACTATATGATGGCGCGTACCATCCACCATACAGTAATCAATATTAAAATTTTACCGCTCGAATGAAAAAGATGCAAATTTTATTGTGGCTATTTTCACTGTGATTTCTATTTTGTGTGTATTAAGGTATGTTTTATTTTTTCTGATCAACTGATACAGGTAAATATATATGCTGCATTTCTATTTAATGATATTCTGGTTAATACAACCGATTTATGAAAATACTTTTGCTGTGATTAGATATACATGTAGTTATAATTAAATGTCACATCTGTTGCTCGTAAAACATGTTTAATTACATGTATATGGTCTCTAAAGTAGTAAATGATATTTAAACATATATTATATACATATTACAACATAGTCTGTGTAACTTACAATTACACTGTCGTGAGCTGGAATACTAAGTACGAGTATATATATATCTGAAATATACACCCGCCTGTACATATAAACTGTGTAAACTGTTTTGTTTTCTGTTTCATTGATTTTTATAAAACGGGGAATATCCTAGTATTTTTGTGTTATTTTAATCCAAATGATTCTATATTAGCAATTTGACTGTGATATAATTGCAGGTATGTGAGTTTTAGTATGCGATCATCTGAAATATTTCCGATGAAAAAGTGCCATTTCTGTGATATATTTCCAATAAAAAAGTACAATTTTTGTGATACACGTATATCAATGCAAGAGAACCTTTTCTGTGATAAATTTCCGATTAAAGAGTACTGTAATATTTTGCCAATTAAAAGTGTACCATTTCCAATTAAGGTGTTTCATTTAAATGATGTAGTTCAAAAGAAAGATTACCATTTCTTTTTTGATACATTTCCAATTTGTGTGATATATTTTAAATGAAAGTGTAACTTTTTGTGATACATTTCCAATGAAAGTGTACCATTTCTGTGATAAATTCCCAATGAAAGTGTTACATTTCTGTGATATATTTTCAATGAAAGAGTACAATTTTGTGATATATTTTCGTTGAAAGAGTACAATTTTAGTGATATATTTAAAATGAAGTAAAACAATGATATATATCCAATGAAATTTAACAATTTCTGAGATTTTCCAATGATAGTGTACATGTATATTTCGAATGAAAGTTGATATATTTCCAATGAAAGAGTACAATTTTGTAATATATATTTTCGGTGAAAGAGTACAATTTCAGTGATATATTTAAAATGAAGTACAACAATTTCAATGATATATTTCAAATGAAAGTGTACAATTTTTGTGATACATTTCAAATAAAAGAGTACCATTTCTGTGATATAATTCCAATGAAAGTTTACAATTTCTTAGATAAATTTTCGGTGATAGTGTATATTTTCAGTGAATATGTTACATTTATGTAATATATTTCCAATGAAAGAGCACAAATTTTGTGATATATTGCAGACTGAAAGAGTACCATTTCTTTGATATATTTCAAAATTAAAGTGTGCTATGATTTCAATGATTTATTTCCAATGAAAGAAATACCATTTATATGATTCATTTCCAATGAAACAGTATATTTTCTTTGATAGCTATGCAATAAAAGAGTACAATTTCAATTATATATTTCCAATAAAGGTTTTAATCTTTAATCTTCCGGTTACATAATTATTAAAGTTGACATTTGTTGTTGTTTTTTTTAAATATTGATATTTGTAACATTAACATATTTGATATTTCACAAATTCTTTTGAAAATATTGTCTTTTTAGATCATAATAACAATTTTAAAAGTATGCATATTCATTCAATATTTTTTCGTAAAAAATTTCCTGTGTTTCTGCTGCACAACATTATTCTTCACAACTTGATAAATGTTTTAAATATGTTCCAGGAATGATGATTCTCACTTTGATGTCATTTATCTTATAGACTCATTATCAGGCGATTCTAGAACATGATCTTTCATCTGGCAAGAACATTTAGACGAAGGAAGAAGTCTGTGATTATAAATCGGAATAAAAATGTTGCTTTAAATCAAGGTAAAAATATTAGTTTTAATGATATTTAAAATCACTGTACAAGTTATTGTAAAAATAACTCTGTTTTGTCGAGAAATATGATAACAGTATTTTCACTGTTCAAGAGTTTGTAATTTAAGAGTTTTATCTCATTTTAATAAAGGTGATTCCGCTTTGTCAACCATGTTTGTTTTCACTAAAACTGACTCTAAACTGAAGTTTGCCATTCATGAAATGTGTATAAAACTTGACAACAGATTGTACTTGGTCTTCGGAAATGTTGCACATTCAAGGTAAATATTCTTATTGTTATCATTTGTATTTTTATTTCTAATTGTCCTTAAAACATAGACCTGGATGTGTTCTTTCAAATGGTTCATCATTTTACATTGTGAGCTTTTTTGTCATATGAATTTTGGCCTACTTTCACTTTGGACAGATTTAGTGAAAACAAACATGGCTGACAACGCAGAATCACCTTAAGCAGAAAAAAACCATTGCCAGTATCAGAACAAGCTTTTATTAAGAAATGTCATTTTTATTTGTTTGGGTCGTTAGACCAAACAATTAATGGTAGCGAAATTTCAGACCCTGATGTTCTTATTTGCAAATGCCGAAAGTAGTTCAAACTCCTCGAAGCGGTTACTTCCCTTCATATGTACATTAACGCCGAAAAATTAAGCGGAGATCACGGCGTAAAGATTGTCAAATGACAGGCGAATTAATTTCGGAAACGAAAAAATAGTTCCCTATTGGTCGAAGATTTCGAATATTGTGTTATTCACATAGATATACATGCTTATATTCAGCTCCATGATTATTTACTTCAGTGTTAAACAACAGGTTTACCGTAAACAAAATATATCGAAATTATTAAGGGTTACAAAATCTAATTAAGAATAATATGGTTTTCTTTAGGATGTTAACTTATAACTCCCTGTGGTCGAGGGGTTTACACGGTCGCTTTCGAACCCACAGGTCCGGAGTTCAAATCCCTGTTCAGGCAACTCATGTTTTTTTGTTTTGTTTTTAAATTAATTAATTGATTAAGCCAAATAAACATTGAATTGAATGTTGCAATTAGTGTTATAGCCAATTTACTATACATGTAGTTATAACACTGGAATACACTTACCAAACAAATTGGTTTATAATCTCATAACCTTCACATTTCTGACATTCTGAGACCAAAACAAATTCAGCGCCTTCTGTGCTTTGATTTTACATTCCTGCCACCCTTTCTCTACCACATCTTTTTTTTTTTTTGGTGGGGGGGGGGGATAAGTGGCAGATAAAACTATCACTGACGTTATAAATAGTTTTAGTGACCGGTTATATTCAAGGTTATATTTTGCGGCCTCTTGTGATAAGAATGGCCGTACAATCAACCCTTTGCTTTATCGCATTTGAAAGAAGTTGATAATGTGGGACAAATGAAACTAATTCGGATATACGCATAAGGTTAGCATTGACATAAAATGATAAAAAGATGTAAATATGTAGAATATGTGTTTTTTAACAAAGTAAAATAAATGAAAGCTTTCGGCGATGTAATTGTTTGATTTTAATACCTACGGAAACCAATATGAGACAATAGTCTTATTTGAAGTGCACATGTTTTTAATTGATTAGTCTGCAGCATGAAATATGAACGGTAGTTTTATTCAATGTTTTGCATTAAATTTTAATATTTTTAAACAAGGGTCAAAAGATATTTTTAATAAGTTGAATTTCATGCAAATTTATCTTACCTCTTTTGAATTGTTTTCTTTTTTATTTTCAAATGGCAAAGAAAAAATGAATTATGATCAAAACCGAGTATAACAAAAAGTTAAGGGATAATAAAGAGAGATTGTTGTCATAAGACTATGAACGTTTGTTATTTTCAATAAATCATAAACATTAACTTCTGGCCCTATCCTTTAAAGCTCGAAAAACAATGACAAAGGGATTGCATTTAAAAGTCTGCGTTAAGTATTAAATATGTAATTCCATTTTTGTCATTCTTGTTATTTCTAAAATTGTCATTGCTTGATATATGATGGTTTGTGAGGTGTCTATTCCAAAAAAAAAAAAAAAAAAAAAAAAAAGGAAAAAAGTAAGCAAGTCAAATTCGAGCCATAGCAAATCAAGAAAAATAAACGGAATGTGAAGTCTATGATACTTATTATAAATGCAAATTTCTGCACTTTAATTTATCAGTTTAAGACAAATAGGCTAACATGGCGGATGACGATGTGCAGGTCACACCCTCGCCTGGTGAGGAACTGGCGTACAAATTCGTCTTGTCAGCCGTGTCAGCAATGGTCGCAGAATCTGGTGAGTTTTAATGTTCTTCATTTACAAATAGCTCATGAAAGTCCGTACTATTTCGTCATCTAGGCAATCGCATCTTCTAGCCAAGGTGTTCCGATTACCTATGTGCATGCAGGTTCCCTTGAGGTGATGAGTTTACCCTCCGAATCACCGCAGTAAGTTACTTTGAATTCACTAGAGTATAGTTCAGCCATTGCATCATTCTCTTTAGGATCTGCCGTAACTGTCTTTTTATCACCGTCAACATCAGTGATTACATTTTTAAAGCATGCTAACAGCATTAGAAAAGCGCTCAATGGACAAGTTTATGTTAGTCTTGATTTAACTTCAATCTATCCGATAAAAGTTTTACCATATTCAAACTTTTAGCCCATATCATACAATCTTAATTCAAGTACACGGAACAGTCACCGTCAAATGCGTAAAAATATGATTTCATTGACAGCAGAAACTAGGTTTTGCATTTGCCTTAATGCAAATATTGTAGTTACAAAAGATATAAGATATTAATCGTCTCATTTCTTTTTTACATGGTACATCTATTTTTAGTCATAATGATAGTGATATAAAAATTTTAATGAATACATATTCACGTCTAGTTCAACTTGCTTCATACTAGTAACCATGCATAGCACATTTTATAAATATTTTAAATTATATACTAGTTTAAAAGTATTCATTTAAACACCGACCTCATGAAAGAGTTTCAACCGCTAGAGACTAACCAGTTTTTGTGTCATTTTGTTCATAATAATTAGCTGGATAACTTTGCAATCAAACAGTTATTTTTAGATTTAACTGAATCTTTATCATTATTAATGATTGTATAACATCATGCTGGTTTTGCACAAGATAACTATGGTGGCTGATTTGGTACATTGCACGTTGCGTTGTCGATAGCGACAACGCATCTATATCGTTCGCCTTTTCGTCTTGTCGGTAGCGACAACACGACAAAGTGCTAAACGGCGCGTTGTCGCGCTGTCCTCTTGTCATCCTGTCTCTAGCGAAGCATGCCAAACGGCGCGTTGTCGCCTTGTCGCTTGGCTTATAAGCCAATTCTTCGATTTGAACCGAGTGACAATGTGACATCGCGACAACACGCCGCACGACAATGCGCCATTTGGCGTGCATCGTTAGCGACACAAAGTTCGACAACGCACCATTTGGCGCTTTGTCCTGTTGTCGGTAGCGCCAACACGACGCACAAAAGCGTTCCAAATCAGCCACCATCGATAACTAAGATATTGACCACTTTATATCATGTTATGAATTTATTTGTTTTTAAGTGACGTATCCACTGGACCTCACGCGGACGAGACTTCAAATACAAGGGGAGGTTAATGTGACTGGAACAACAGTATCACATTCCAAGAGAGGAATGTTTAAAATAATGCAAGGCATTGGTAAGTTGAATAATGTAAGATATTGGTAAGTTACAATCTGGTTAAATTCAGCTCCTAATTAAAGCTACTTGCAAGAAAAAACTTAAGAAGATCTGAACTTTGGTCAAATTGTGGTAAGTTAGATAATGCAAATTATTGGTAAAATAAATAATTCGATGCAGTAGTAAGTAAAATAAAGAAAGACAATTTGTATGTAAAAATAATGCAAGACATTGGTAAGTAAAATACAAATTTAATGCAAATTATTAGTAAATTAAATAATTCAACGCAGCGGTAAGTAAAGTAATGCAAGCCATTAGTAAGTGGAACTATGTAAATCATTGATAGAACAAAATAATTCAACACACAATTATTGGCAAGTAACATAATGTAAGACATTGGTAAGTAAAAAAGCTATTTATTGGTAAAATAAATAATTCATCCTCGTGGTAAGGAAAATAATTCAAGAATAGTGCAAATTATTGGAAAAATAAATAATTAAACACCGTGGTTAGTAAAATTATGCAAGACATTGAAACTATAAGTGTATTGTATGATAATAGCATTCTATCAGTATATTTCTCGTTTTACAGAAACAGTTATCATGTAATTTAGATATAAATTTTATTCTACATTTTCGTGTAGATTATATAAAAGATTATATAAAGAAAGTTTAATGTAAACAACGTTGATGTGCGTTTCTTTTTCACAAAATATGGCATACCAATTTTAACAGCAAAATTGCATTAAAGGGTATTACATCAAACCATTTGTTATCATTTCGTTTTTAGTAATACAAATGTCAACTTAGTTGCAAAAGCTCTTTGTTACTTGGAAAGTTTGTGGCAAATTTCATATCAAAACTTGTAGAAGTCTGATGACCATACGTATTGATCAGAATTGCGGCTTTATGTAAATAGTGGAAGGGCGAAAAGTAAAAGTTGCAGCATTGTGACTTTTTAACGTTTTTGTTGGGGTTTTTTGTTGTTGTTGTTGTTGATGATGAAGATCTTTTTTGTCCAACAAGGTGATTTATACTCAGTTCATTTCTTGTAAATGGATCAACTAAAGTGTTCGAGACTGCATGGAACCGACGTTACGTCATATGGACATGGAATTGAATGATGTTCCATCAAAAAAAAGTATCCAAAGGCATAAATTTGCTTTTTAAATTAAACAAAATGTACAATATTTCTCTCTCACCAAGTACATACTTTCTTTTGCATCTGAGTAAACCTTTTATAATGGTGATTATTTTTTTCAGTTACAGAAGAAGGACTGTTAAAGCTATGGCAAGGAATTTCGCCGGCACTATACAGACAAATTAGTAAGAATTTAGTTTTGAGAATCAGATGATTACTTTGAAATTATGAAAAACAAGCATTAATAAAGCATATTTTACTGTCAAATATAACGATCTGTGAAGGAGGAAAATGTTGAAAAACAATTATGAAAAACAACGTTTCATGCAGTGGAAAAATATAGTTCAAAAATGCAGTGGAAATTACAGTTCAAATACAGAAATAGAAAATGAAATCACAAAACTATATCAGCTTAATGGATTGTTTAAGAAAGACTTTTTCATGATTGTAAAGAAAAGTGAGACAGCAATGTTGCTTTGAATAACACGTTGTTACAACCTATAATATTTTCATAATGTTTAATCCATAGTTTTTTCATAATGTTACACACATATTTTTTTTCAAAATGTTAAACCCATAGTTTCTTCAAGGGAATGTATATTATTCAAAGTTAAGTTTCCTGGAGCAGGAACATGTACATGTATACATGTACTAGTTATGAAAAATAAATAGAATGAATCCACTATATACGATGTATGTTTATATGATTTTTATGTTTCTTGTTTGTAGTTTACTCTGGGTTTCGAATGGTAATTTATGAAGGACTAAGGGACCATGTGTTTCAGAAAAATGATGATGGATCGTTCCCACTCTGGTATTTGCTTTTGTCAAATTATATCCAAAATTGCAAAACCATTGCTCCTCTTCCTAAAATGTATAAGCTGGTAACTGAGCTAACGTGCATAAAAAAGAATAATAAAAAACAACACAAAGACAAGCGAATAGACAAATAAAAACAACAACAGTCACGAGTCATAACATTATAAAAATCAGGAAACAAAGTGATCCCTCGGAAGCATTAATCACCACAAAATAACATGAAAATTGCAGACTCGGTTTGATTGAGTCTGTGCATGAGGGATAATGAAACAGTGCAACATCCCTCACGTCCCCTAGCACCGGCTTGAGCGGTACTCAATTTTCAACACTTAATAGTGCTGGCAAAAATATAACAACACTGAAGTGAAGTACGGGGCAACTTTTTACAGCTGCCACACATCACTTGACACCTGCTGTTGTGCAGTATAAAAATCCGGGAAACAAAGTGATCCCTCGAAAGCATTAATCACAACAAAATTACATGAAAATTGCAGATTCGGTTTGATTGACATTTTTAGAATATGTAAGATTTGTAAGACCGTTCGAAATGACAGCGGTAAATGCAAAATAGAATGGATCACCGTATTAACAAGCTGTGCTGACATTATCTAAGAAGAAGCAATGACCTGAATGTCTGATATTCACATTTCAAATCGTATTTTGGTGTGTAATAATGGATTAAAACGATTTTGTTACAACGCATTTCATCATTATTTAACTCACATTTGTAAAAAAAACACTCATATATTCATGATAATTCAATGTTGTTCAAATTTCTTTCACAAAAATAATGAAAATTTTACGTTTAGTTTACTTTTAAGTCGTAAACGATTCGTTGGCAGAGCTCTGCTATTCAATGCCTTTATGTTTTTATTTTCTGTCGTATGCTTCAGGAAGTCAGTGATAGTGAGCGGCACGTGTGGGGCTCTTGGTCAGCTTGCTGCCAGTCCAACAGATCTAGTCAAAGTTCAGATGCAAATGGAGGGTCGTCTGCGACTGGAGGGCAAACCAGTACGGTATGTTTAATGTTATAAAATCCGCACCCCGATCAGGTAGAGAGGGAAACGATATTGGTTCGATTCCTACATGGGCCTTGGTCGGTTGCAGGTAACGGACTCATGACTGATTCAAATATTGATTAAATCGATCAAAGCCAAAAGACATTCTGGGAGTTTTTAGCAAGCTCAATAATTTTCTTGTCTTGATTTTACACACTAAATTTATTGGTCAGTTTTCTCATACTTTTAATTGCTTAAAGGATGTACCGATGAAAAAAAAATCAAGCGGGAATGCAAATTTTGTATTTTAGGGTGACGAACTGTGCACAGGCGTTTCGGACAATATATAGGGAATCTGGTATAAGGGGATTATGGCGCGGATGGGTGCCAAATGTTCAACGAAGTGTTCTAGTCAATGTTGGAGGTATTGATTAGCCAATGACTTTCTATAGCCTGTAAATGAGACAATTCCATATATATACTTTTGAATTACATCTGAAGTTTTTAAAACTTTGTTTTTCATAATTCTGCGAAAAAACAAGAGCGATAACTCAAAAGTGTTCGAATGTACCCTTTTCTCACCAAAATGTACGGTTCACGCTCGAGACAATAGTGCAAGATGTTCCAGTATTCGCGGAGTATTTCAACTGTTGTAATGTTCGTTTATTAATGAACAATAAATAATAGAAATTAAACCAAGTGCGTTAGATACAATGAAGTAAAGTAAAACACGACGAGTGTTCAGCACAAGATATAAATTTATTCTGTAAACCCTTAACATGTGATCTTAGATATTTTACTAGAAAATACGGAGCATGCGCAAACAAGCATTATACATAGGTCAGCTCAAGTTCATCATGTACGATGATACTACATCTCCCTGTTTTTAAAAGAAAAAATAAGCAACACATGTTAATAAAATTGTATATGATAATAAACAATTATGATGATTAAAAATGCATATACATACTGAAGAGAACAATTTAAATAGTTTTAAAGTCACAAAGTTTTTTTGTTTTGTTTTTTATTATTATTACTATTATTTTATTTCTGTTCTCTCTTTTTTTTCTCTTTACATTATAATGTCTATCCATTCCGGATGATTAATTAACAGTGCTCCATTCGTCGGTATTATAACGTTTATTAGGTTTTACTACTCGACCACTGCGCGTCTGATAACCTGTGCCTGACCTTGCTTCATGGCTAATAGGATTTTGAATATTCTGGGAAATACCTGTATCATTTAAAGGTGCTTTGTTTGAGATTATATCATGAGGATCTTGACCTTGGTGGAGGATATTAGGGAAGGACTCTGTATTGATAGGGAACTTTTCCCGCGTTTTGTTTATGAAGCGGCGATTACGGCTGTAAATAGCGCCATTTTCAGTTTGCACTTTGTATGAACTCTCCCCTTCTTTTTTAGAACTATGGCTGGTTTCCAAGTTTTCCTAAATTGCACCCCCTGCAAGAATCATCTTTGTTTACCGGGGAAGTGACCTCGCACTCTTATCGTAATAGTTCTTTTGCGTCACATTATTTTTTTGCAGAGATTTTCTTACAGACTTGTGGTTAATGAAGGATGGTTTCAGTTGCTCATTATTTGTAGGCAAAATGGATTTTAACCGTCTGCCCATTTACAGTTGTGCTGGGGGATATCCGCAGTTTCAAGGTGTGTTACGATTTTCCAGAAATGTTAAATATGGGTCTGTTTTGGTCTCCTGGCATTTTATCATAGATTTGTTGGCTATTGAGACCATTTTCTATGAAACCATTGAATTGGCTATATCCAGGTGAAGATGTTACATGTTTAAAATTCCAGTCAGAAGCAAATTTTTGAAATTCTTCTGAGCTAAACTGTTGCCCGTTATCGCTTTTTCAATGTTTCTACTTGACCATAGCGAGCCATATGCATTGTTAATTTTCTAATAACAGTTTTACTTTTTGTTTCTGGCAATGCATCGACTTCAAAGTAATTACTGTAGACGTCCGCAGTTATAAGGTAATCACGTCCGTCAAGCGTGAATAAGTCGGCGGCAATATGTTGCCAGGGTCTTTGGGGCACAATGTGGGGATTTAATGGTTCCTTCACATTTGATGCTCTGTGTGTTAGGCATAAAGGGCATGCTAACACGTGGTCTGTGACCTGTTTGACCATGCCTGGCCAGAACATAATATCCTTCGCCCTGTTCAGCGTTTTAGTCACTCCCATATGACCTACATGAACAGCGTTAATCATTTCAGTTCGCAATGAACTTGGAATGACCAATGTTTGACCACGGAAAATTATGTCATTTACAGTCGAGAGTTCATCCCGATGATTCCAAAATTCTAATATGGAATTCGGGCACTCGTGCCTAAATTCAGGCCAGCCGTCAATAATTGTTTGTTTCAGTGTCTGAAACTGACTGTCTTGCTGTGTGGAAAGTCTGAGGTCTTGTAATTTTCCGTCGCTTACCGGTAAACTATTAATAACCGTGTGCACGTGCACGTCAAGTCCGTCAGACAATTCTGGATACGTGTCCTTGACAAAATGACGGGATAGTGTATCCGCTACAGGAATGCTTTTCCCGCTAACATGTACGACCTCTATGTCGAACTGTTGAATCTGTAATAAGAGACGTTGTAGTCTGGGGGTCGCCCGACATAATTCTTTTTTCATAACGGAAACAACAAGTTTGCAATCAGATTCAACTTTAGTATGTCTTGCGTAACAGTATTGCTTGAAACGTCGAAGACCATGAAGTATAGCTAATGTCTCTTTTTCTATTTGAGCATAACCTCTCTCTGTAGGGGTCAAGGTCTTTGATGCAAATGCAATGGGCTTGCCGTCCTGTAAGCACGTGCAACCTAAACCACGTGCACTCGAGTCGACTTGCAATGTGACAGGCTTTTTCGGGTCATAGTATGCCAAGACTGGTGCCTTAGTCATTGCGACTTTAACCTTTTCAAAGGCGTCAATTTGCGCACTGTCCCATATAAACTCAATGTCTTTTTCAACAAGTCACGCATAGGGCTTACCATTTCTGCCAATTTTGAATCAAATTTTGACAGATACGTGATCATGCCAAGAATAGTTTCTAACTCTGACTTATTTTCTGGGGCTTTCATTTCTACAATTGCTCTGATTTTTTCGGGATCGGGCTTAAGACCGTCAGCTGTCAGTACGTGACCAAAGTATTTAACTTCCTGAGAGCCGATTACACATTTGTCTGGGTTAAACCTTATACCCTTTTCACGTGCTCGGTCCAAAACACGTGTCAGGTTTGCATCGTGCTCTTCGATAGTCCGTCCGTACACAAGAAGATCGTCTACTATTGACGTCACGCCCGTCACGTCCTCGAAAAATTCGTCGATTTTTTGACAAAATATGTCTTGGGAACTTTTTATACCCATAGGAAGCCGCAAATATCGGTATCTACCGAAGGGACTATTAAATGTCGTCAAATATGAGGATTCGTCCGTCAATTTTATCGACCAATAACCTTTCGTTGCGTCTAATACACTGAAGTACTTAGCACCTGTCAATTGGTTTGTCACGTCTTCTATAGTCCTCATGGGGTAGTGCGGTCTCATGATATTGTCATTTAGTGCTTTAGGATCTAAGCACACCCTCAGCTTTCCAGTGCTGGGTTTTTCCACACAGACTAATGAATTGACCCAGTCAGTCGGTCTAGTAACCTTTTGGATAATTTCTTTATCCTCCATAGACTTCAACTCAAATTTTTAAACGGTCCTGTAAAGCTACAGGTACACGCCTGGGTGGACAAATTACAGGTATAGCTTTTGGTTTTAAATGTAAACTGCATGTACCTGGGAATAAACCAATGCCTTTAAATACGTCATTGTAATCAGTCAAGATTTTTTTTGTTTATCTAACGTGACTGGTTGTTTTTCTATAGCATAGGTTAGTTTTATCAATCTCAGATCTATTGAAGTCTGTAAGCTTAATAATGCTGGAGATTTACTGCCTACCACATGAAAACATGTAATGATTTCCTTATCCTTGACCTTACAGGGTAAGTTGACCTTTCCATAAACTGGGATAGGGTCTTTTGTGTAGGAAGATATCCTATCATCAGAGGGTAGCAAGGGGCCTTTGAAATCTAGTTTCTTGAGCATTTCCTGAGGTATCAAGTTACATTGAGACCCTGTATCTTTTTTGAAATTTACAGGGGCGGACTTTCGGCCAATTTGGAGTTGAACCATTGCGCAATCAGGTCGAGAAGTAATGAAATCATTTACCTTGCATACATAAAAATCCTGATCGTCACTCGATAAGTCCGACTCACAATTTATATTGTTCACAGTATTACGTGATTTACACATTTTCTGGAAATGATTCAGTTTGCCACATTTCCTGCACGTTTTCCCCTTTGCTGGACACGTTTTGCTCTCTTGATGTGTTGTCCCGCATCTAGAACAGGTCATTTTCTCGTCCCTGTCTTGTGGCTTTTCCCGCCTTCGGATTAAACGTTTTCTAGGTCTCGCCACGTGGTGAACGTCCTTGTCCGCCGCAGATGCCATTGAACTCAATTGCTGTTTGGAATATTCCATATTTTGAGCGATTTGTACAGCTTTATCTAAGGTCAATTCTGCACCTTCGTTGATTAGCTTTTCCCGAACCTTAGAAGAATTTGTGCCAAATACAATACGGTCCCGTATCATTTCGTCTGTGTTTGCAAAACTGCAGTCTCGTGCACAGATTTGTAATTTTGTCAAGAACGAATCGATGGTTTCTTCTCCCTGTGTTTGGTTGTAGAATTTATATCTAGCAAATATTGGATTGAGCTTAGGTTGCACATAAGTTCTGAATTTTCTGTAGAACGTGTCGATCTTTTTGGCATCGTCTTCAGAAATATCTTTCCACGTGCAGTGGATATCCCGCCCTTTATCACCAATCCATAATAGAAAGTAAGAAACTTGTTCTTCTTCAGACTTTTTCTTCAAAGGTCCTGTAAACATTAGTTTTGCGTGACGTTCGAATTTATTATAAGCTTCAGGTAAATTCGAAGATTCCCAGTCCATTTGGGGCACTGACAATCCAGATAATTCCATGTTGTTTTCAAATATTAATTTAATTGTGTAACTTTATTTTGTTTAGATAAATATTCCATTTTTTTTTTATCGTATGTCCAGGTTATTTATTAAACGTTTTTACTCTGACACCATGTTGTAATGTTCGTTTATTAATGAACAATAAATAATAGAAATTAAACCAAGTGCGTTAGATACAATGAAGTAAAGTAAAACACGACGAGTGTTCAGCACAAGATATAAATTTATTCACTAAACCCTTAACATGTGATCTTAGATATTTTACTAGAAAATACGGAGCATGCGCAAACAAGCATTATACATAGGTCAGCTCAAGTTCATCATGTACGATGATACTACATCAACAACGGTTTTCTTTCAAATAGCGCGCACAGTTTACTATATATCATATCATTCGACGCTTTTAAGGTGTATTTTGTTTTTGGTTTCGATCAAATATTATCCGGCTAACTATGCCACTCAAAACCACTCGTGGATTATTCGTACTGGAAAATGAAGGAAATGACCAAAGAATGTTGAAAATGGTATGAAATTTAAAATGTTTCATTTAAATATCATATTTACAGATCTTGTCACATACGACACTGTCAAAAGACAAATACTTATTAAAACATCGTTACCAGATAACTACATCGTACATGGAATATCCAGGTAGAACCCTAATTTATTCAGACATGCCAATTTACAAAGCTTTATTTGTCAGACTTGATAAAAATTGATTGCTTTTATGAATTTAATTGATAGTTATTTACATTGTAATAATATAATGTTGTGTCCATTGTTCTCAGACGTAAAATTTCATCAGGCTATATTATTAAATATACTAAAAATAGGTTTCATGGTATTCTCTCTCATTTCTTTCATATGTCAAATCGTGTTCATACATTGCGACCGTTTGCGTTTATTTCAGCGCTTGTTCCGGTTTAGTCGCTTCTATAATGTGTACACCAGCTGACGTTGTTAAAACCAGAGTCATGAATCAACCTATTAAAGACGGCAGGTATGGTTTTCTTTTAAATGTTCCCTTTCTAAATCAAATAAAGGATTCGTGCAGTAACAACTTAAGGAGCAAGGCCAAACACGTTTCAACCATAACAAAACAAATTGGTAGAGAAAAGCGGCTGCCGATCGCACTTTAATGTCTATGTATATTTCACATGAGAAACCTCTAAAACACACTCATGAACTTTGGTACTAACGGAATTACATGTCTTTCATTATTATTTTCTATAAAAAGATATTCTTATTTATCTATAAAGATCTAGTAAAATGTATGACGAAAGCTTTTAATAATATGTTTGATGCACTACACACGTGTACTGTTTACCATTTTGTATCAAGATCAGTAATGTTCTAACAATAGCGAGTAGTCATGCAAATTAATGGTCAAATATGATGTGTTTTTTTGCAGGCCCGTTTTATACAAGAATTCCATTGACTGTCTCGTTAAAACGGTGAAACAAGAAGGATTTATGGCTCTATATAAAGGTTTTGTACCGACATACTGTCGTCTGGTAAGTATTATATATACGCACAAACTTATGTGCTAAATTTTCTCCAACTAAAATACTGGTATACAAAAGCTTTATTCTACAACTCATAGCGTACTGTAAAGACTTTTCATTGGAAATTTGTTTGAGATAAAAATTGAAATGCATTTTATTCACTTTGAGGTATTACAAAGCTAACGTTCGTTTTCCGGATCCAGATTGTCTAGGGATAAAAACTAATTTCCACAACTATTATCCAGCTGGTCATTTCTTATAATTTACGTCAATGTTGTGCCGTTACTGGACCGACATCAAGTATCAATGTTAAACTTTTTGTTCGGATGCTCTATATTCAATATAATTCCATTTCTTATTACGCATGGGCATGTTGTTATAAAAAGAAACGAAATTTTATTTCAGGGGCCTTGGTTGGCGGTATTTTGGCTAAGTTATGAGCAATTCCGGCGGGTAACTGGCCACGTTTCATTCTAAAGAACAGCCATATTTTCTGATTTTATTTAATGATCTCGTTTCCCCTTTTCTTGCGACGTCTAAGGTCAGGGACATAACTAGATCTATATTGACAGTCTTCATGCGTGGTGCTATTTGCTTCTTTGGAAATCAGACTGAATTGTACACTTGTATTTTTCTAAAGTCCTCAGAAGTTGTGATATTTGTTGTTATCTATGTATGTAATTTACATGTTAATAAAGTCATTGGCTATAAAGTTGTATTTCTTTTTCAATTCTAAATGCAGTGAATAGTTACCATCCTCAAGTACTAGTATACACTTCGCATTTTGGTTGCCGGTATCGGTTAAGCCCACCTCACAGGACTTTTGTTAAGTAATGCATAGATAACATTGTTTCTTCCTTATGCCAAAACTATTGCACAGATATTATGGAAAGGTCTTACAACAAGAGCTGTCACAGGAGACAGCCAAGCTCGACTAATAAAATACTGGACGCAGTAAGGAGGGCAAAACTATGAAAGAAAAATCAATTATGTATAATTATGTATTAAGTTATAGTAAAAATATAACATTTGTTAAAATAAATTCCAAGATCAAGGGAAATAATTCTAGAAATAGTCACGCTAAAGTTATGAACCTTGTCACACAACATGTATGTAATGATAAGAAGTATATATTTGAAGTTTGAAGTAGATACCTTAAAAAGTAACAAAGTTATAATATTTCTTAAAGAAAATCCTAAGTTCAAAGAGAAATAAATCTGTAAAAATTACTTCAAGAGTTATGAATATTGTCACATAAAATATAATTGATTATAAGGAATAAGTATTTGAAGTTTGAGGTAGATACCTTTAAAACTAAAAAAGTTACAGTAAAAAATAACATTTTTCTAGTAAAAAAATCTAAGTTGATGGGGAGATAATTCTTGCAATATTGGTGCTAGAGTTATGAACCTTGTCACATAAGATGTGGATGATGATAAGGTACATTTATTTGAAGTATGAAGTTGATCCCTTTAGAAACTAGAGGATGCTTTTGTAAAAAAGCGATGTCTCCCCCACTGCTGAGAATAACTGTGAATGGAAACAGGAATGGAAATGGAGATAAGATAATGTAAATACCCGGTAGTCACTTCAATGAAGGCTGTCTATGGATGGTTTCTATTGTTAAGGTTGTATGAGAAGATGCTTCCTAAACTGTTTGTTTTTAACCAGGTATTCAATTTTGAAAATCCTGGTTATTCAATCAGCGTATGGCAGGCGGGCGTCAAACGAAATTGCACTTGATGGTCATATCATATATAGTTTCACAAATGAAATTAAATGAAATTGTGTCTGCTCCATAATTCTTCAAACCTTTAAAGGATTTTGATGATACTTGAAACAAACGTAAACAAGAGGGATCATCTGCTCAATAAGACCAATCATCCTATGAAGTTTGAGGGTTGTAGGTCTAAAGGAACTCTAGTTATCATCCGGAAAGGAGAAATTAACCAACGGTCGCTGTGACCTTGACCTTTGACCTACTGACCATTAAAACAATAGGGATCATTTGATTAATAAGACCAATCATCCTATGAAGTTTGAGGGTTGTAGGTCAAAAGGAACTCTAGTTATCATCCGGAAACGAGAAATTGACCAACGGTCACTGTGACCTTGACCTTTGAACTACTGACCCCAAAAACAATAGGGATCATCTGCTCAGTAAGACCAATCATCCTATGAAGTTTGAGGTCTGTAGGTCTAAAGGAACTCTAGTTATCATCCGGAAACGAGAAATTGACCAACGGTCAGTGTGACCTTGACCTTTGACCTACTGACCCCAAAAACAATAGGGATCATCAGCTCTATAAGACCAATCATCCTATGAAGTTTGAGGGCTGTAGGTCAAAAGGAACTCTAGTTATCATCCGGAAACGAGAAATTGACCAACGGTCACTGTGACCTTGACCTTTGAACTACTGACCCCAAAAACAATAGGGATCATCTGCTCAATAAGACCATTCATCCTATGAAGTTTGAGAGCTGTAGGTCAAAAGGAACTCTAGTTATCGTCCGGAAACGAAGAATGGACGGACGGACTGACGGACGGACGGACTGACGGACGGACGGACAGGGCAAAAACAATATGTCTCCCCCGAGGTGGGGGAGACATAATAAAGAAGTAACAGTAAAAAATAGTATTTTTTAAAGAAAATTCTAAGTTCAAGGGGAGATTAATCTGAAAATATTGGTGCTAAAGTTATGAACCTTGTCACATAAGATGGGGATGATGATAAGGTACATATATTTGAAGTATGAGGTTGATCCCTTAAGTAATAAAGAAGTAACAGTAAAAAATAGCATTTTTTAAGAAAAATTCTAAGTTCAAGGGGAGATAAATCTGAAAATATTGGTGCTAGAGTTATGAACCTTGTCACATAAGATGTGGTTGATGATAAGGAACATATATTTGAAGTTTGAAGTTGATACCTTAAGAAATGACAAAGTTATAGTGAAAAATATTTTACTGCACCAAAACTTTAATCTGAAATCTGGACGCGGACGCCGGGGCGAGTAGGACAGCTCTCCATATACTTTGTATAGTCGAGCTAAAAATGACCATTAGTGGTGTTATGAGGGATATAACCTACGACCCCTGATTACTAGAACAACATGTTACCACTGGACCACGAATTCGCTCCTTAACTTACTTCTTTAAGACTGTTTAGATAAATTAACAATACGAAACAAAGCAAAGCATCTGTGATTACCAGTTAAACTAACAGCAAAGCATTTGTGATTACCAGTTAAACTAAGAGTATGCATCAAAGCAAAGCATTTGTGATTACCAGTTAAACTAAGAGTATGCATCAAAGCAAAGCATTTGTGATTACCCAGTGGTCGTCTTTAATGTCAGATTGTATTAACTTCTTTATCCCTTGCCTCCACCTATGTAGAGCATCCTGCATAGGCTTTAACTCTCCCATATACTTATATAAAGACTATCCACATGAACTTAAGCAAAGCTTGGTGGTCCACTAGTTTCCACAGGCATTTTCTGCAGCAGTTGAGCTTGTGCAACTTAAAAACCAGTTCCTACTGTAATGGTAAACAAAAATGTACGTTTCCCCGATTCAATCTAAAAGATGCTTTGCTTATATGTAGAGCTCTAAAAATGTGTATAAATACAAAATAATAGACAAATAAATTAGAATAGTCTTTATTAGCTGTGTTTGAACACCAAATGTCTTTTAGAGAAAAATACAGCATTAACAAGACATGTGAAATAACTTCTATCATATACAATATTCCATCAAGATACAGTCAAACCTGTACTAGAGAGGGTCGTTAAATATTTATATTGTGGTGTTAATTAACACTAACACTGTAATGGTCATATGGCAACATTCTTACATAACTATTTGTAGAAGGCTACAGGTGTCTCTCAGTGAACAGACAGGACATGAGTAGAGGCACCTATGTTCTGTTAATTGATTTGATAGCTAATCCAAAGTCTCTTGCAGGAATTCAATCCATAGTAGTGAGGATATTGTAGATAAAATAGCAATATTTCTATCGCTAAAGTCTTAAAGAACCTTTTCATCAAAACTTTACTGTTCAACTTTTTCCTAACAAATTCATTAGTTCTCCAACTCTATTAGTTGTTTAACACTATTAGTTCTCCCAACACTTTTTAATTACGATCTTCATTTTGAATACTCATACCAAAATATACACAGAGTAATTCAAACAATTCATCTTTGCAAAACACTTGCCAGAAAGTTAACGTCTAAACAGACTAAAGCATTTCATTTACACTAAGAAAATAAAGACTTTAACAATTTATTAAATATCCAATGACTTTCAAAGTCCCCTCAGCTTTGTAACCCAGTCCTTAAGTGAAAAAAATTAAATACTCAATGCAATAATACCTCACAAAATGTAAATGTACTGTAACGATTTTAAAACCGACAATGGATTTAAGACATGAATGTTTTAGACAATGAAAATATAGAATACAATGTAAAAACTCAGACATGAGCGTGTATGTTTTTGAGTGTTAGAATTCACGACGATGATATTTGTCCGGCTCGTAGTATGATGTGACAACAACTCTGTTAGAGAACTTGCGGCCTGTTAGAGCTTGCTGGGCCTTCTGACAGTCTATCAGGGAGTTAAACTCCACAAATATCTGTAAAGAAACAAAACAAAAATATTTAAGAAGTTTTGTTATAATACACAAAATAGACATTCAAAATTGTACAATGACAGTACCAAAACAGAGAAAATAGGACAAAAACAAAATTAAACACGATTACTTCCTGTTTTCAAATATGTCTTCATGTATTTAACTTTAAACACGTTACTTTCAAATATCAACCATATTTCAGTGATTAAACCAAGCAAGTGTTCAAATTTTGTGTTTAAGTCAAGCTGACTTTAGTCACTTTCCTGACTTCTGGTGGAGGTAGACCTCAGATGCCTTTATGTGCATTATTTTAGCCACAAGTGGGAACCCCTAGTAGAAATTAAATTTCATTAAATGTAATAATAGTCAAAATCTTTTCTAAAGTTTGATACATTAAATCCAACATTTGGTCAGCCACACACAGAAGAATTGAAATTTTGCTGACATGTCAATCAATTTAAAGAACTTCTACAAATACAGATGACATTGACATACCTTGCCACATCCAGGTACATCTATACCCTTGATTGGTCGCGGTATTTCTAAACTCTTCACCATACCATATTTACCACATTCTTCTCGTACATCCTCCAAAATATCTACAAAAAAATCACACAATCAGCACATCATAATTAAAAACACAAATATCTGTAACTAAAGCATTGTGATGATACATCAATTATATGTAAAAAAAACCCTATTTATTCATATTGGTTGCCATAAGGTCATATAGCTTTATAACTAGTTAAGCCGCTTAGTATCAGTATTTTCGTACAGTAATTATTTTCTTACAGAGGTAACTGCTTATTGTTACATTTTCTTATAGTGTTATCATTTACTTGCAGAGTTATTTTCTTACACAGTTAATTTCTTACAGTTATTATTTATTTCATTTACTTGTCGGGTTATTTTCTTACACATAATATATAATTTCTTACAGTTATTAAATTCTTATAATTTTCTTACCTTCATACTCATCTTCATCTTCCAGGTCTTCTGGGGTGACCATGTTCATCAGGCACAGCACCTCTGTAGGTGGTCCTGAACCCTGTTGCAGGTTCAAACCTGGTACCTGTACTTGTACTGGTGCGGCCTGGGCATTCTTTGCTCCTACACTCGCTCGCTGAACAATAAGCTTCTTGTCCCCTAACTGCATTCCATTTAAACCCGCACACGCCTGAAGTGAAGGAAAATTACATTTGGATATATGTGATTTCATATCAACAGAATTCCACATAACACAGCAGTTACAGGGTTATACACCCTGCAATCTTTCTCTTAAATAATGAACTTGAGAGACACAAAAATTCAGACCAACAAAAGGATTAGATATCCAGAAAAGAATATCTGTCATAAGTTGCAAACATGTCATATATTCTTTCTTGCATATCTTACCATATTCCATCATATTAAAATTCTGAACTGCAATTAAACAGTATTTCCATTGAAATTTATGTCATTACACCTGTAACTTTTTCTAACAATAGCGTATAACAACTCATTCATAATGGCGAAATTATACCATTCTAAGCATGCCATTGTATGGCACGCGACTCATCTAGCACCCCCATGCCAGATGAAATTTCCGGCATGGGTAAAACTAAAGAAACACCAGTCTGATATGCAAGAAATATTTATCCATAAAGGATTAAATAACCACAAGAATAAGATATCCAGAAAAAAAAACATAAGATATCAGTTTCACTATTTAAATTCATCATATTAACAGCTTTCGAAAAATATGTTTTCCATTAGCAACTGTGTTACTTTAGCTGTGTCAGATTTGATACTACATGTACATAATATACATATTTATATACATACAGTTTTATATAAACTGTCACTTCACAAACATATTAACATATTGATGATATAAAAGAAACCAGTTTAAGTACATACAATTTCACTTATATCCTTGGTTTTATTTTCAACTGGATCAAAATATAGATCAAATTTAGGACCAAGATCCATATTTGGATCAACCTTTAACTGCACACGTTACAAAATAATCGTGAGATTTTTCTAAATTTTTATAAACTTTGTCTATTTTTAAGTCAACCTTTTTATTAGTATTGAATATTAAATCGAGAAAAAAACATTGATAAATTTTGATCTTTAACTGATCTGTAAATGTTTGTGAACATGGGAACCAAAGTTTTTTGTTTTGTTTATAAAGTGATTATAATACATCAAACTTCAAGTGGTGAGTTCAATTATAAGAAGCATACCTGGTCAGTAACCGAGGGTCCTCCCATCATTTCAACATACTCACAGAAGGCGTAACCCTTTGACAATCCTGTAGCACTGTCCTTCACCAAGTTAAAAGCCTTTAGTGGTCCAAATGATGTCAGTAGTTCTTTTACCTACAAAAGTATGATGATGTTATAGAAAAATTCTGAAATTCTAGAATCTAAATACATGTTTAATATGTATACATTACCCTAAGTTTTGAATGATTTTGAAACAAATGTTTTATATTTTGGTTTGCATGGTTTAATAAAATGTTCTTCTTCTACAAATAATAACTTTATCAACAAATTTTAAATGCACTGTTAATTATCATATCATTTTTAAAATGCAAAAGTAAACAAAAACTTGTCAATCAAATCAATTATAACAATTTTTTTTTTATTCGATTTTTTGTTTTATTAAATTTTGTAAGAATAAATACTTAAAAGTTACTTACCTTTTTATGAAAAAAGAAAGAGAATTATTTAAAGCAAAACTGTTTTTTACTTATGCTTTGGTTATACTACATTTCTCCCCATATAAATATTATTTAATTCATATTAAATTCTGTTAATCAAATATTTGTGTAAATAATATTTCATTAAAAATTGTAGTAGAAAGACTACAAACAGATTTGCTTCAAATACATATTCCCACAAATACAATATTATATGACTGACAGAGGTTGGTATTAAAAAAACTGAAATTTGTGGGATCTTTGACACTCTCTCATGTCAAACTATTACGTATTATCCCATCCATTCAAGCTCTCTCTCAAAACATGTTAACTTAATAAAATTTTACTTTACCCAACAGTAAATTAAAGCAATACAAATGAACCCAACCCACACAGGATTCTCATCTTACTAATTCACTCCAAAATCTTACTTGATTGTTGATCCAATAACTGCAGTTTCCCCCCACTTTAAATTTCCTACTTATTCACAGTTCTAACCTTAATTCAATCTTTTATAAATCTTACTTTACTGCGCATCCCACACTCTTTAAAATCTAAACTAACTGAAGGTCCCACCTGTTCACAATTTTACAACTGCAGATCTCACCCATTCAAAATTCTTACCTAACTGCAGAGCTCTACCCAGTCATAAATATTATCTAACTTTTGAGCCAACTCATTCATAAATATTTCCTAACTGTAGAGCCCACCCACTTCCAATTCTTACCCCAAATTGTAGAGCCCACCCATTCATGAATCTTACCTTACTGTAGAGTCCACCCATTCATCAATCTTACCTAACTGTAAAGCCCACCCATTCATAAATCTCACCTAACTGTAGAGCCCACCCAGTTCAAATTCTTACCTAACTGTAGATCATAGCAGTTACATGATTTAACTTGAGTAAACTTTTATATAAGCACTTGCCTGGCATTCTTGTTGCACAAATTAGAGATAACTCAACCTCTTCCCCTATGCTAGGGAATAAACGGGGAGAGAAAACAGAAAACAGATTAATATGAGTTTTTTCAAAAAATAGCAATTCATATATATTAAAGAGATTATCTTTAATGAAAGAAAATTTATTATGCCTCACTAGTTCAATACATGTGCTATTCCTCAGTATATACAACAGCTTTCTTTTAAAAACATCAATTTCCGAAAGATATGCAGAGTCATTATCATTAAAATTCAATATTTTGCATATTTTTTTTTCAATTCAACATTTTTACAATTTTTCACCAATTACTGAAAAATAGGAGCTGAAAGAAAAGGCCTGAAAAAGAACCCTGAAAAATCTAAAAGCTCTGGCAAATGGAAGATGGCGGACTGAAAAAAGAAAAGTCCTGTAAAGGAAAAAATCCTGCAACGGAAAAAACATTCGGACCAAATTTGCATAGCATACTTAAATATCTATCAAACGGAAAAATTTCAAATCAGAAATGCTGCAAAATGAATTATCCTGGATCATGGAAAAACTTAAAATCACGCGACTTTTTTTCATGGAGAAGGGTTTAAAGAATAGCACTGTATCACCTTGGCTTTACTATGTCCCCCGAGTGGCGTCACTCGTATACCTGAAATTACCTGCAATAAAACAAAGTGCTGCTTGTCTGCCATCTTGTCACACGTCTGCCTGTAACATCATGTGACAACAATGTACCCACAATGCACCTGTACTAACATGACAGGAAATACATACCTGATCTTCATTTAGATAGTTCGGTAATCCACCAATGAAAATCTTGTTTGGAGAATCTTGCACTACTGTAGACACCACACCTGAAGAAAAGAAATAAGTATTTGAAAATTCTACGTTAATTCGTTTCAAGTGTGGTAAATCAAGACCTGTCATTTTATAACAAATGTAATTATAGTAATTATTTACAAATCAATCCTAGAGACATAGCCTTCAATAATGATTATAGAGACATCCGGTAAGTTCAACTGAATATTTTCAGTACAATGTACTTGGGTAGATAAAACTTGCGTGTAAGACCTTTAACTAGAAATTTTTAAGCTTACACAGGGAAGTGATTCAGTAATAATCCATGTTAAAATTTAAGATCATAAAAAACGTCTCTTTTTATAATCTTAAATTTAAACATGGATTATTCATCTGAACACAAATCCATAATGAAGTGTTCCATATGAAAACACCATTACCTGGATAAGATAGCAACAATACTTTATCAAAAGTAAAGCCAATAAAAATATTCCCAATTGAATTGTAAATTGAACTGATTAGAATGACCTTTGTTTGTTTTGTTTTTTACACAGATTTTAACACAGCCATATCCTAGTGGTTGGTACACCTAACAGGATTTTCCAGATGAACTAACCAGTAATTACTAATTTCTCTATAAGTGACCAACTAATAATCCTACATGATATCAGAATCAGCAGTGAGAGACAAATGACTATTGGACTTAATATTCAAAATTGTCAACGAGAAATCTTCCCTCGTTCGAGGATCGAACCAGAGATCCCTGGATTACAAAATCCTATGCTCTCCATATTCTTAAGGTTATTAAATTTCCCACATTTTATTTATAAATGCCTTCATACTGTTGGCTGACCAACTCCAAAATTTTCATTTCGATATCTTTTTAAAAGATACTTGGCAGAATGGTAGCTGGACAAATCTATTTTAAGAAATTCAGCAGGTTAAGGGTTCGATATAATATATAGGCAAGAAGAACAGAATCATTTTGACTATCAGTAACAACCTACCTGGTACATTCACAGAGGGATTTTCTGACATTCCAGGCAACACCTGATAATCTCTGGGTCTTCTAATTTTCAGCGACTGTCCTTGAAAATTGATTCCATCAAACGCCATTGCCTGTGTTGTTTCGTCTACTGAACGGAACTGTGAATAAGAATTTTGTGTAAAATTTCTCTGCTTTGAACGTTCTCGTTAAAATATGGTACAAAATGTAACTGGACTGATTTGACTAGACATTTGTAAAATATGTCAACTAACTGCTATAATATAATATAAAATGTTAATCCCAATTTCCAAATACAATCAAATGGGCATAAAACTCAAATTCTTCCAAGATAATTAAATTTGATTAATTCTTTTAGTATTTAAATTTTTTCTTTAAACAAATTTATTTAAGTTGAATTGTGAAACAAGTTCTTGCAGCACATGTCAATCACTTTCAAGTCAGCTTCCTGGACCTACATGTAACCAGTACTGGTTTTGTTTTGGGTTTTACGTCACATCGACACAGTATAGATCATATCGCGACATTCCAGCTTTACTGGTGGAGGAAGACCTCAAGTGCCCTGCCGTGCATTATTTCAGGCACGAACGGGTACCTGAGTAGAACCACTGACGTTCCGTAAGCTAGCTGTCGGGATTCGATCCCACAGAGGTGAGGGTTAAGTGGTTCGAAGTCAACGACCTTAATCATTCGGCCACAGACGCCCCTACCAGTACTGGTGACATACGAGGAAACATGGTTGTGACCGGGGGTAGGGCTTAAACCAATGATCCCTGTGTTGACAGGCAGACACTAAATCCTCCTGTCAACTTACTAGAGGGTGAAATCTTATGGAATCTTACATCAATACCCATCTTTGTACATGTATAACTCCGTATTATTAACGCTATATGCTATTGGCCTGTCTATCTCTCAATAATTAATTAATTAATTAATAATCAATTTAACCTGTCTTAATTAAACAAGGATTTAATTACAATCTAAGGAGATTTTACAAAATTAATAGGCTATTTACCTCAACAAAAGCAAAGTTTTTATCCAAGTTGATTTGTACAGCAATCACTGGGTTACCCTCCGCCTGTGCTAAACCACTCATTTTCATCTGGTCATTGAAAAAGTCCATCATGGCAGACTGAAAAATTAAAGAACATATGAACGTATATACATACATGAAAAATTAAAATATGATTTTCAAATTTAAATTTTTAATCTTTTGAACTAGACATAACAATGAATTTAACGTCTTCAGCAAGGCATCTAGTAAATACATAATAAACTGGACTTGAAAGTGATAAGCCTTTGCTACCAGTAATAAGCCAGGCAATCTTACAGGGTTTTCATTTTTATGTGAGCCAAAGATGTGCCAACAAAAAAGTAGCAATTTCAGTCAATTCAACCAATTTTAACAGCATTTCAACCGATGATATGGATTGCAGCTTATACAGCTTGAAGCTTTATTTTCATATTTTTAAATTCTTTATATAGAAATCACATTAACTTAAACACACTGTTCCAATTTCAAAGCATGGCAAATCTATTACACAAATTCAACAGGCCAATGGTTACTCTTACCTCAGTTACACCAAAAGGTATATTTCCCACATATAATCGCCGAGCTTGCCGACTGACTGCACTGCCAGCAAATGGCACTGTTGTATTTGTAATTTGTGTGGTGGGAACTGGAGCAGCTTGGGGAACTTGGCCAGCAGCTGTAAATAAGCAAATCATTAAAAAAATTTTGTTGCCTTAGTGATAGACAGTGACTATCATAAATGCATAAAATGATAATAGCAACTACAAGTTTATGTGGTAAAACTTAACTCATGTCCATAGATTTCCCAAAAAAACTCCATACCTACCCTTTTCGCCTGATCAGAAACAGATGAGTTTTTCTTAGGCCATAGAGAAGACACACAGAATATTTGCAATAAAAAACACCTTGATAATTATGATATTTAATAAGGTCCTTTTATCTTTTGGTTTACTGAATTTTCAAAAAAGAAAAGAAAAAAGTTTACATATCTTAATGTCTGGAAGGTGAGATACTTTGTAAATATCTCTTCTCTTAAAATTAGTCCATCCCGATTCTGATAAAGGTGGTGCGTACATAGTACTTACAAGAGAAATGAAATGAGTGATTGTCTAAATTCCACAGTGCTTATAAAGACACAAAACATTGTTCACGTGTGAAAACAAAATAGCATCCACAAATAAAAAAACAAGAATTTGTAACAGAGTTACCAATGTCCCCCGCCTCAGGGAAGTTTTATATGAAGCATAAAATTGTGCGATTTCAAAAGATTGAGGTATGGATCTAAGGACTTTCAGTCCAAAATTATGATTAATGCTAGATCTGCAAATGCAACAATAAATTTATTAAAGAAATAAAATGAAACAAGGAATTTAAAAATCTATCATGTTAAGCTTTGACCTCTAAGAGTGACCTTGACCTTAGAGGTAGGGGTGCAGGTGTTGTGCATGACATATTGTCTTATTATTGTTACTATTTGTGCCAAGTATTTTCAAAATCCCTTGAACTATGAAGAAGTTATAGATCAGACACAAAATATACCCTGTAACAGACTATGTTAATCTTTGACCTCTAAGTGTGACCTTGGAGGTAGGGATCCATAATTTGCGCCTGACATATCGTCTTATTATTGTGATTATTTGTGCAAAATATTTTTAAAATCCCTTGATCTATGAAAAAGTTATGGACTGGACACAATATATACCTTATAACAGACTATGTAAATCTTTGACCTCTAAGTGTGACCTTGACCTTGGAGGAAGGGACACAGGTGTTACGCATGACATATCATCTTATCTAAGTGACTATTTGTGCCAAGTATTTTCAAAATCCCTTGATCTATGAAGAAGTTATGGATGGGACACAAAATATACCATTTAACAGACTCTGTTAACCTTTGACCTCTAAGTGTGACATTGACCCTGGAGGTAGGGGTGCAGGTGTTGTACTTGACATATCCTTTTATTATTGTGACTATTTGTGCCAAGTTATTTCAAAATCCCTTGAACTATGAAGAAGTTCTAGATCGGACACAAAATATACCCTATAACAGACTATGTTAAATTTTGACCTCTTAAGTGTGACCTTGAATTTGGAGGCAGGGGTGCAGGTGTTGCCCATGACACATCGTCTTATTATAGTGACTATTTGTGCCAAGTATTTTTAAAATCCTTTGATCTATGAAAAAGTTATGGACTGGACACAAAATATACCCTATAACAGACTCCAAGTGTGACCTTGACCTTGGAGGTAGGTGACCGGTTGTTGCGCATGACACATCGTCTCATTATTGTGAGCAATTGTGGCAATAATTTACAAAATCCCTTCAAAGATAAGAAAGCTATGGACAGGACATAACATATACCCACTAATAGACAATGTTGACCTTGAATGAGCAAGTGTGACCTTGACCCTTGGAAGTAGGTGTCTGGTTGTTGCGCATGATACATCGTCTTATTATAACAAACATTTGTGTCATGTTATATCAAATCCCTAGATAAATGACAAAGTTATGGACCGGACATGCAAGTGTGACGGACAGACGGACAGAGCCTATTTCTATATCCACCTTTTTTCTTCGAAAAGACGGGGTACAATTATTATGTATGAAATCTACACTTGAGATGACTTTGCCGACCCTTCAAAAGAATCGGTCAATCTTTGATGTTCACATGCATGTAGTCCCAGTTGTTTAATCCGAATCATCAAAAGTTCAATTTAATATAGAGAAAGATCAAATAGTAATATCTGGAGTTTCAAACAAAAAATGATCTCTAATAAAATGGCTCAAATACACTGGCAGACAGTAACAGTGGTTTGACAGTTCAACAATGTTCTTTTTATATGATAATCATGACATACGATTCATTAATTTAACATATTAATAAAATTAAAAGGCTGGTAAAGGGAATCACCAAAAATTTATTTAGAGATAAAATACCTTGGGTCACAGACCATCATACTAACCTTGTAATGCTTTGTACTGCATTGGGGTCATGTGCTCAAATCCCGGTGGAGGGACATCCCAATATTTGTAGGGTTTCTTTTTTCTTGTAGTTCTTTCCCTTGAGCGACTAAAACAAAGAGTCACATTCTCTTATTAGGTATGAATTTCTATTTAATAAATAACACTAATATATAAGATTTATTCAAATGTAAATAATCTATACAAATATTGAAACAGGACATAAATATGATTTGTTTTTAACTAGTCAATTTTTTTCATTAATTGTCTCAATCAATTAATACGGCTACTAAAAGAGATTATTTAGCGCTTGATTATAATGTTGATTTGATTTATACACATACTATTATCACTTAAATTAAAACCTAACAATGCCAATTTGTCATAATTGATAAATATTTCACCTTCTAGACCTATGTTTTCTGTTTGCTCTTTCTCCCCTCTCACGTGACCTTGACCTCCTCTTTCTGTCCCTACTTCTTGACCTTTTAGTCCTTGACCTTGAAGCAGACCCTGACCTTGACCTTCTAGGTCTATCTTTATCTCTCTCCTCTGTAACATAAAACAACAAACAGTGATTACAGGGCTCGACATTAACGGTTGTCCGACTGCCCGGGACAACTAAAAGTTTGGTCCGGGCAAGTTATTTTGAAAAGCACTTGTCCGACAGGGCAAGTGAAAATAAAAAGCATCATTGACAAAATGCATGTACAAAATGAATAGAAATAACATCTTTTCATTTATAAACATCTTTAAAACAAAAATACACCATGAATCATTATCAATAATGTGAATATACTACGGTCATGTACATTTGTTGATATAGGAAACGGAAGCAAAAATATGAGCATGCGCCGCGGTAAGGTAATTCCCCGTTCTAATAATAGACTATATCTAATTTTGTACAAGGTAATTCCAGGGTTATGCTGTTGTTTAAATTTTGATGTTTGCATGTAAAGATATCATTGAAAATATGTAAATAATCATATTGATCTTTAAATATAATTGTTAAATAAAGTTTTTGCATTTAAAATGATTTATTGTTTAATCTAATATAACAACGTTATGAACTTAGTCAACGAAGACTCATTTACGGCTTTTGACTTGATGATTGAACGGGGAATTACCTTACCGCGGCGCATGCTTATATTTTTCCTTCCGTTTCCTATATCAACAAATGTACATGACCGTAGTTCATTCACATTAAATAAACAGATGAACCGATGTTTTAGAAAAACTACTAAATACAAAAAATATTTGTGTCTAACTAACAATCAATTTCATAAACATTATGTCCAGTTTATTGCCTTATGTTAACATTACCTAATACAAGAAGTATTAATGTATGAGCTTGTTTGTTTTTCTGTTTTATACATTTTTACCATTTTTAGGTCAGGACAAGTAAGTCTTAGGTCAGGGCAAGTAGTTTTAAAAACTACTTGCCCGACAGGACAACCTGATTCAAAAGTTAATGTCAAGGCCTGGATTAGATAATATAAATCATGAGTGTCTTCCCCCACCTGTTTTGGGTGTATCCAATTTGAAAATTCTTTGTTTAATGTTATAAATTAGATCAAGTAGGAAACTATAACTCCGCGATTCGAATGTGTTGCCTTGTGAACAGTTTAGCTGTCACTAGGCATATTCTTCTTAACTATTGGTTATTTATAAACACCACTCTTATAATGTACATGTACCTTGAACTTAAGTGGCATTTAAAATGATTGTAAACATGTTACATCAGGATTGATGTAGCTTGAATAGCTTTTATTGTGTAGGAGAATTGGCCCGGACAAAAATAAAGTATAATATAATTAACAAAGGGCAATAAAATCATGAAGTACAGAGTACCGGTTCTTCTGAACTGCTCTTCTTATCAATAAGATCTATCATCCTATGAAGTTTCAAGTTCATATCTTTTATAGTTTCAGTGAAATGGCTGGGACAAAAATAAAGTAGGAAAATTAACAAAGGGCAATAACTCAAAAATTAAAAATTGTAGAGCGCTGGTTCTTGTGCACTGCATTTCTTCTTAATGAGATCTATTATCCTATAGAGTTTCAAGTCCATAGCTATTATACTTTAGGAGAAATGGGCCCGGACAAAAGTAAAGTATAAAAATTAACAAAGGGCAATAACTCAAAAATTAAGAAGCGCAGAGTAACGATTCTTGTGCACTGCCCTTTGGGTCATTGAAAGAAGTAAGCATACCAAGTTTGGAGTCAATCTGACTTATAGTGACTGAGTTATTAAGCTCTGGACAAGCTTTAGAGGATGCTGCCGCCAACAATGACGCCGTCAAAGGTAACCCCTATATGTCGCCTTTTAAAATGATGTATTGACAAAAATTTAAACTGCCAAAAAAATTAATTTTCAATTTTTTTACTGACAATATTTTAGCTACATTTTAACATAACTGGAATATTTTGCCATTGGAAAGGAGGCCTTCAACTGGACTCATCTACAAAAAGAATAAACAAGAGGGCCATGATGGCCCTGAGGTCGCTCACCTGTAATATAGGCCCCCCCAACCCCCCCCCAAACGTTGCAGGGCCAATTTAACCAAAGGGCTTTTATTTGCACAAACTTGGTAGACACCCATAAGAAGATGTTTCATGCTTAACATCTAAGCTCTAGCTCATTGGGCTATTTAAAAGAAGATTTTTTTTAAGTTTTTACTATACACATATAGTTAAAAACAATGACACCCCTGGGGCCGGGCCAGTTATGACCCCAGGGTTTTTATTTGAACAAACTCTGTAGACACTTACTAGAATATGTCTCATGCTTAATATCTAAACTCTTATGACCTATTTGGGTTTTTTTAAAGAAGATTTTAAGTTTTTGCTATACACATATAAGGAACATCAATGACCCCGGGGCGGGGCCAATTTTGACCCCAGGTCTTTTATTTGAACAAACTTTGTAGACACTCACTAAAAGATGTTTCATGCTTAATATCTTAACTTTAGCTATTTGGGTTTTTTCAAAAAAAGATTTTTTAAGTTTTTGCTATACACATATAAGGAAAATCAATGACCCCCGGGGTGGGGCCAATTTTGACCCCCGGGCTTTTATTTGAACAAACTTGGTAGACACCTATTAGAACATGTTTGATGCTAAATATCTTAACCATAGCTCTTTGAGTTCTTTAAAAGAAGATTTTTTAAGTTTTTACTATATGCATATATAGGGAAAATCAATGACCCCCCGGGGCGGGGTCAATTTTGACCCAAGGGCTTTTATTTGAACAAACTCGGTAGACACTTATTAGAACATGTTATTAGAACATGTTTAATGCTAAATATCTTAGCTCTAACTCTTTTGGTTCTTTAAAAGAAGATTTTTTAAGTTTTTACTATATGCATATAGGGAAAATCAATGACCCCCTTGGGGCGGGGCCAATTTTGACCCCAGGGCTTTTCTTTGAACAAACTTGGTATACACCTATTAGAACATGTTTGATGCTCAATATCTTAGCCATAGCTCTTTGAGTTCTTTAAAAGAAGATTTTTTAAGTTTTTACTATATGCATATAGGGAAAATCAATGACCCCCGGGGCGGGGCCAATTTTGACCCCAGGGCTTTTATTTGAACAAACTTGGTAGACACTCACTAGAAGATGTTTCATGCCAAATATCTAAGCTCTAGCTCTTATGGTTTTTTTAAAGAAGATATTTAAAGTTTTTTCTTTCGGTTGCCATGGCAACCAGAGTTCTGCATGGAATTAAATTCTTTGAACAATTTTTAAAGGTGACCACCAAAGGAACATTCCTGTGAAGTTTGGATGAAATTGGCCTTGTGGTTTATGAGGAGATGTCATTTAAAGTAAAAGTTTACGGACGACGGACGGACGACGGACGGACGCCGGACGAAAAGCGATCACAAAAGCTCACCCTGTCACTATGTGACAGGTGAGCTAAAAAGTGACACTGTCATAATTATATGGATTCAAATTTCAGCCTGAACACCTGCAAAATGTGAGGACTTTTCACTATTGAGATGTTTCACTCCCAAGACAGTTCACACCTAGAAGTTTCACTCCAATTTTGTCAATAGTCAAACTCCAATGTTTGAACATTTCACTCCAAATTATTTCATTTGTGATGTTTCATGGAAATGTGAACAGTGAAAAGGGAAAAGTCCTTAGCCTCTTTATTTTGGAAAATATTATAGCTAAAATGGCTAATTTGGGAAATAAAAAAGCTGATCAATGTAAGTTCAGATTTTTGGGAAAACTGTAAGATTTTAAAGAAACTTTCGATTGGGAAGAGGCCTTTTAAAGGCATCTGCTATATAATATGAAAAATCAGTGATATTTAGTAGAATATTTTATTACAGTAGAATACAATAAAGTTTATAAAATATTAATGAAGATGCTAAATACAAAATGTATGTATATTCTAAGGTAATCTATTCTAATAGTTTTATTTTTCCTCAAATGTAAAAAAGTCTCCTTAAATTGTAAATGAAAATAAGAACATATTTAATTAAAAAAAAATAATGTAAATGCCTTATTTTATTTCAATGTTATAATAGATAAATTCCTGAAGATAGGTGTTCAGTAGTTTTTTCTCACTTAATTGGGAAGAGGCCTTAGCCTCTTGATTTTGGGGAAAATTATGGCTAAAATTGCTGATTTGGGACATAGAAAACCTGGTAAAGTTTAGAATTTCAGGAAAACTGCATGATTAAAAAAAAAACTTCCATTGGGAAGAGGCCTTTTATAGGCCTCTGTTTTTATAAGGTGAAAAATGACTGGTGTTCGATCAAAGATATTTCAGGTAAGCATAAATCAGTGTTAAATCTATAGCGCGCATATAAGGAACTTATCCTGCTAGCTTACGGAATGTCGATGAGTCTAGTCAGGTAAATGTTCGTTCCTGAAATAATGAAGGGGCACTAAAAACATTGGCCCCCTGAAAGGACTACCGGCGCAAAACAATTTCAACTGTGGACCCAATGGGCGTACTCACATAGAAAATGCTCTAAATGGCATTGGAATGCTTTCTTAAACCCGATTAAGTAAATAATAGGTTTCTTGAGAATAATATTAATTATTATATTTATAAATACTGAAATAAAAGCTAATCAAACATGATTGGCTAAGTGTCTGCCAAATGAGTAAATTAATTTTGATTGGTCTTCGGGTGGTCGGCGCTAAAACATTGTGTATATCATTAATCTATAAGCATGATGTAGGACTGCTGCCCTGACAAAAGATCAAAGGAACTGGTATGTCAATGTTCATTGTCTTAGCACCTGTTGATACTTTGTTTTTCGCATGGATATATTGAGAAGGGTAAATATTTTTAGCGACTATGTAGGTTTATATTCTTCATCAATAAAGGGAAATGCACATAATGATTTTCCTTTATATCAGCCGTTGATTTAAAAACTGAACATTTTTATCATATATCCCTGGCAACATTTAAATTAGGTTCAATTTGATGTCTTTGTTTCATTACCAATCAGTTCTTGAAAATGAGCCTGCATTAGCGCCAACCAGGAATTTTTTCCAGGATTTTGGGAACACAACCCATACCCATGGAATTGGGAATTACAGCTGTGTTTTGTTAAAAATTGGGAAAAATGCATGACTGAAATTTTGCAGTGATTAAATGGATGCAAACAATTACTGTCAAGGATGGCATCTTCAAACATGTAAGCACTATTAAATTGAAGAAGCCCTTATTTGCAAAGATTTTAGAATTTTTATTCAATATTTTTATTTTGTAACTTTCAATTGGAAATTTTTTCCTATAAATTGCAGTCTATGCGAAAGACTTCTGAGTATTACTGGACAGTAGGTCCTGTAAACTGAAAATTTTTACTGGACCAAACATGATTTTACTGGACCGAAAAAAACCTGATTGGTATAGCGTTTTGAGTCATTTGATAAGTGTCAGCAGTCAAAAAATTTGTGTAAAAAAAGAAAATTGTATTATCAACGAAGTGAAGTTATCTTTTTTCACCACAATCAAAATGTAAACATAAATATTGTTATACATGTATTCAATGGATTTTGCTATTTAAACTTTAATTTCATACAGACAATATACTAGCAAAATGTCTGGCATATGTAAACAGCATTATATATATCGGTAATTTAGTGAAGTTGACAGATTAACTGTTCAATGATTTTGTTACCTTCACAGTATAGTTTAATTTTTGTCAACATCTTGGACGATCTTTCATAGCTAAACACCAGTTGAGCACACGTGTAATTTAGCATTTCTCTAAGTCATTGGATTAAAGACGTAAATTGTTCCAATTAATACACTGACACTTTCATCTGTGTAAACAAACTTATAGCGGGTGACCTTTCACATCTGGGCCGCTTATGTAATTTACACGGCCGCTTATTGACTTTTAATTGTACTAGTCGTCGGATATTTTTATCTTATGTTATTACATTAAAGTTTGCATTATGAGAATGCATAACAGTTGACAAGCATTGCACGGGCTTTAATATTGTGTAATGACAACATTTTGATATGTTTTGAATGTAGGTAAATGATCGGCCTTTGCAAAATGTTGAATGTAAGGTTTTTATAAATCCTTAATTTTTACCGGACCGTCAGGCCGTCAATACATATATTTTTATCGGACCTTCTGATTTTTTACCAGTCAGGGCCGACGGTCTTTCGGAAAGACTGAAATTGAGAAAATAATATACTATTTTCAATTGGGAATATGACCCAATAATGGCTATAAAATAAGCCAAAAAAATCCCTGCCAAAGGAACTCTCATTAATTATACAAAACTTTTAGGTCCTGTAATTGTCACCAAGGTCCTGTAAAATACAAGCTTTCACAGGACCTTTGTCCTGTAAGATCATTTCAAGTTTCACTGGGACTGTATTTGAATATTTGAATTTTATACATGTTCATTTTAAGTGTGGGTCCCCTTTTTTTCTCAAATGACCCCCTTAAAAAAAAGGCCTTTTGAAAAGTTTATGGGGCCTAAGGTCCCCCTGGGAATTCATTCTAGATTGAACACTGTAAATTATTTAATACTATAATAGAACTTTGAAAAAAAATTGGACATATAAAAATGGGTGGATGGATAGATAAGTATAAGGCAGAGATAAATAAATCGGGGGGGGGGGGGAAGTTGACCAGGATTCGATGTGAACCATCCTGGGAGTGAAACGTCTATCCACACTGTACGGTTAGTCTATACTGCTAGTAAATGCTAGCCATATATTCCCAATTAACATATACTGGCAATGCTGTTTGGTGATGATTTAGTTAGAAAAATTTATGCACACGTCCGAAAATATTTGGTATCCGAGTTCTATTAATCGTAACCTCAGAAAAATGTGCCCATCTCATCTTCTAGAATGTAATGGGATCAAGTCTAAAGTTAGATAACATTAAATACCTTTCACTTGAGCCATTTCTCTGTCAAATTCCTCGAAATCAGCCATTTTTAAGTTTATTTTCTCGCAAACAACAATGGAGTCTCAACACGACGCTCTGGACTGGTTTCGTAAATTATATCTGGCCGAGTTGGGTACGTTACGATACCGAAATCAACTTGATTTCGGTAAAGTTACCGAAATCAACTTTTCATTACCGAAATAAACTCGTAAAAACCAACCTAGTTAAAATATTGCTATTATTTCTTCATTATTTGATGAAAATTAGTGAAATAGACTTTCAGTTAAAAAATCTATTGAAAATATTTTATTTTAATGATGTTATCAACAAAAATGTAATTATTGAGTTACTTCCCTTTGTTCTAAACAGCCCGTTATGTGTATAGCATTACCGAAATCAGCTGTGAAGTTTAAATTATGTATATAAAATACATGTATAATACATAAATAGTGATTATTTAAGATAATTTATGTTTTTGAAATTAAAGAAAACCCGACTGCATTGATGAGAGCGTTCAGTTGCAACTGAATAGATATCGTAAATAAAATGTTAACTTATGTTTAATTATTGTACATTATTTGAGTATAAAAGAACAATGATGCGTGTAAAGCATTCATAGACAAGGAAACAACAATAAAAGCATTCATAGACAAGGAAACAACAATAAAATAAATGTTATTCGGGCCTATATTAATGTACAAGGACCTTGTCGATATTTATAACGAACAGAAAACATCTTCCATTTTCACCGATTATTAATAGAATAATGGAACATGAATATGAAAAAGTGATATATATTCATTTTACACGGTACAATATTAATAAACGAAGTAAGATTTTTTCTCTAACCTATGAAATGAACTTTCGAACAGGGGTTGATTAACTTTAAGTCATTATGCAATAAAATATATTGCAGGTTTAGAGATATTTGGTACACAAATTATGTATGTACAGCAACCATTTATTACAAGACATTAGCACAAGCATGTTATATACCTGCACGTGATTATCGTGCATAACAATTTTCTAATCAAATCATACTCTAAAAAGCTATGATCGGACTATGATTGAAAAATATAATACTCTTTAATATGAGTTAAATCTAATTATAAATTTTGTACTTGTTCATGTTTTACGAGTTTGAATACAGATATATAATTCGACTGCTCTAAAAAAAATCCATAAACATTGTTATAATGTATCAGACGGTAAAATTTGAAATTGGAAAGTTTGTGTCTTTCTTTTATTGAACAGTTAAACTATATATTAACAAATCGCTAACATATGTTATGGGGACTCTTTATTATAATATTTATTTAAATGTTTATTACGAAATAAACCTATGGTTCATTATAATCTTTTATCTTTAACATACATTGTATGTCAACTGTACCCCCTGTCTTAATTACTTCACACCTTACTTAATACAGTAATACACAACATGTCATATCGTACAAGTTACAACATTACATAATTGAAATTTGCCAGTATAAAGTGTTCCATTTATTCCATCATATAAATCATCATTCATATATATCAGTCATTCCATAAATGTATGCTGTTTACAGATATGAAATTTAAAATGATTATAAATCGATCAACATAAAATCATGACTTAACAACTTTTTCAATAAGTAGAATATGTAGTTATTATTATATTATAAAGTATCAGGGACGTCAAAATAATGCATACATTTTTGGAACAACTGATATGCAATTTGGTTATAATAATATCAAAGCACCTTGTCTCATATACCGAAATGTTTTCTACGGAAACGTATAGCGACCACCCCTACAAATGTACATGTTAATTAAAACAGATCTTTTGACAATTTATTTAATATAACATTATAGTTTTACCAACTTACTAGATCCTTGGATGTACTATACTGTACATACGTATCGTATGTTCCAGCTAGATCTGAAATATTTATACTATAAAACTATAAAAAAAAGTCTTTCTAAAGTGTCCATCTATATTCAACTATTTTAATAGTGAGCTAAATTAGGCGGATAACTTCTAACACAGTTTTGTTAAATCTTGTATTTTGAAATCATTAAGAAACATCAAAGAGATGATACGCTGCTATGTTATCTGACTAAAGGGAAAATTTAAACATTGAAAATATGCGATATGAATTCAAAGTTTAAAACTCACTTAAATACATTTTTTTCATAGACTTCTGAAATTCATGCAAATTATTTAGGGATTGTCCTCATCTTTGAAATGAAATCTGATTTGATTTCGGTAATGCAACACATTAATAACAAGGGAAGTAATCATGATATAATATACATATCCGTCTATAACATCATCATTTTTTATAATTAAATATTATTTTCTTTTGTTTATGGTTCAGTTTGAATGATTTTATATTAATTAATAAAACAAGATCTATTAAAATGTTTATTTTAACTTTTACAAGCCGATTTCTGTATGGTAACATATTTCGGTTCGTGACAAATCAGGGAAGTATTGTTGATATTTAGATATTTGTTTCTAATTTCATAATTATTAATTATTTCGAACTGATTTTTTGCATGAAAGTCAAACTAAACCTATTGTAATAGATTATAATAGAAAAAAATATAATAAAACGCTTAATTGTGATTTTACAAGTTGATTTCGGTAATGAAAAGTTGATTTCGGTAACTTTACCGAAATCAAGTTGATTTCGGTATCGTAACGTACCGGGCCGAGTTCGACTGGTCAATCATGAAGCGATAAAGCGCGAAAATACCGATATGCCTAAAATACGAAAATGACTTTTTATACAAAAGTGAGCAAAAGTACGATTATTTGCGCGAATATATATACAACAAGAGCTGTCGGTAGGACAGCAACGCTCGACTATTCTTAGTGCTCGATAGTAAAGAGCCTTGATAATGTAAAATTTTCTAAGTTTACAAAAGGGCAATTTTTTTATATAAATCCATGTTACAGCACGGACTTTAATTGAAATTTTGTAATTTAAATCCGTGGTTACAGTTATAGGCCTTGGAGAGTCCTATTACACTCTCAAAGAAGAGTATAATATTTCAACTTGTTTCAAGGCCAGATGTCAATAGAATATGAAAATATCTGAGGTGGTATCGGACTTGTACATAAATTCTAATTCGAAAAAGGGGCATAATTCTGTCTAAATGCTTGATACAGTTACCTCCTCATGTCTACTGTTTGGGGTCATGATGGTGAACAAGTGTGCAAATTAAGTTTCAAATCCATATGTCAATGGACTTTGAAAATATTTGAGGTATTACAAAAACTTTAACGTACATGTAAATTCTAAGTCGAAAAAGGGGCATAATTCTGTCAAAATGCTTGATACAGTTACCTCCTCCTGTCTACAGATTGGGGTCATGATGTTAAATAAGTGTGCAAAGTTTGAAAGCCATATGTCAATGAACTTTGAAAATAAAATTATTTGAGGTATTACAAAAACTTTAACGTAAATTCTAAGTCGAAAAAGAGGCAGAATTCTGTCAAAATGCTTGATACAGTTACCTCATCATGTCTACAGGTTGGGGTCATGATAGTGAACAAGTGTGCAAAGTTTCAAAGCCATATGTCAATGGAGTTTGAAAATATTTGCGGTATTACAAAGACTTTAACATAAGTGGTTACGCAGACGCGGACGCCAACGCCGATGCCGACGCTCGGGTGACTACAATAGCTCTTCTTATTGAATAGTCGAGCTAAAAACTGTATGAAAAATATATATAATTGAAAATATTTGAGGTATTACAAAAACTTTAACATAAGTGGTTACGCCGACGCTGACGTCAACGTCGGCGCTCGGGTGACTACAATATAGCTCTACTAATTCTTATCGAATAGTGGAGCTAAAAATAACTTCTATATACATGTATATCCAATGTCACAAAACTTGTCCGGACTGCTCCTCAGAAACTACTAGTGCAATTTCATTAAAACTTTACAGGAATGATCAGTACCAAGTCTAGTTGTGCATATCGTCTGCATTTTCCGGTTCAATGATTTTTGTCAGAGTTATGGCCCTTTAATGATTTTTATCCGGACAACTCTTATGATTACCACTAATGCAATTTCAATGAAACTTTACAGGATTGATCTGTTCCTCAAGTACTTGCGCATATTACACAAGTTTTTCCTGTTGGATGATTTTTGGCCAAGTTATGCTGGTCGCAAACCCATTATGTTGGCTTTGGCGCGGCTCATTTGTCTTACAAAAACTGACGGAATGTAGCCATCCTGACATAAATATTAGTAACCCTCGGCTTTCACGTTTGGCCTCGCGTTTATCCTGTCAACATATATGTATTCTAGGCTTAATGAGGGTTCATCCGCCCTTTCAGGCACTGAGAGTACGGACCCCGGACTTGTCACCATTCATGTCCTTAAATGTTACTATCAACCAAAAGGTGACCTATAAATTTTGAATTCAGTAATTCACAGTATGATACTAAATATGTATGGAACTCGATTTTTATCCTGTCAGCCACTTGTTTAAACTATTAGCTATATATACAATGATAATCCAAGGAGTAAGTACGCACAAACAATTACATGGATTTGGAATTATCTACCTGAGGTAGTTTGACAAGCGACAAGTACAATATATATATACTTCAGTAATATTTCTATAATACATTTGTTGGCAATGTTTGATTGTTGGGGATGTTTGTTTGTATACATGTGAATAAAGAATAAATGGCCCAGCCATTTAAGTGGTCATCTCTGGTTTGCGCTAAGATATGAAGATATCTTATGAACTGTACAATCAGATGAACCAAGGTGAAAGCTCCGATGCGGGAAATAGCTAAACGTGATGTTGATCTACTGTACTGCAATTCAAGATTCAAAAGATCTTTTTTTTTAGCTCTGGCAGACTGTATGTCTGTCTGCTTAATGAGAATCCATCCACTCTTAAAGTCACAAAAAGCACCTTACTAAACCATACATGTATAAAGTCCAGCCAAGCTTCAAATCTTTTGCCGATGCCCAATGCCTTTCCATGCACATACCAAGTGGTGAAAGAGTGACAGAGTCTAAGAAGGCTAGTTTGCTTAAATAGGCACATAATAAAACTGTAGAGCAAATTTGTATGTACATATATACGAGTATGTATGATCAAGGTCTTTCAGGACAGTTGAC